AACACATAGGTAAATAGAAATACTAATTAAGTTTTGTTTTTAATACCAAGCAGACGGAGTCGCGGGCGACAGCTACTATATAAATCACGCAATAAAAAAAAATATATTTAAAAAAAAAACTTTTGCTTACTTTGTTTTCTCATTGGCTGAATATACAAACCTTTTGCCTAACAAATAAAAAAATATGACATTTGTCAAAGATTAAAATAATACATGTGTGATTTTAGAGGGATTTAATCGTGTTTAATATTCATAAAATACGTTAATACTTTCAAACCGCTTTACCATTTCGCTATGTAACATTACAATCGCCCATGAAATTGTCCGAGAAAGCATTTATACGGTTTCATCTGTGTCGGTTTGATGGATGTTATAATTATTTTAACGATCACTTGTTCTAATTAATACATGACCGGTCCAAGCGAAAGTTGACGGAGTGATGACGTCACAACATACGCGAGAAAATACATACTAGAATATTGAATGTGGGCAACAATATTTCTGACAATTGCCAACATTATAGACAAAATCCTTACTAATATTATAAACTAACTGATATATAAAAAACTTAATTACTGTAGCCTATGTGTTCTTTCAGACTATGTTCTATACGTATGCCAAATTTAATCGAGATCCGTTCAGCCGTTCTAGAGATATCTTCAAACACCCATCCATCAATCCATATCACATCCATCTAAACATTCGCATTTATAATATTAGTAAGTTAAATAAACAGTGAGTTTAATATGTTTTGATGTTATGTACTATAAGTAGCCTAAATAATAAAATGCTACACAAAGACTGAATTTCACGCGGACGAAGTCACGGGCACAACTAGTTTGTATATATATTTGTACAGCGCCCCCTATCGGGCGTAAAGAACACCAAAAATGTCATATTTAAGTTGACAAAATTGACGATGATGATACAAAGGCGAATGTCACCAATATTCGTGAATGTCCAACTGTTCAAACACTCATATCCCTAGACAAGACCCTGCTATACATGACGGCTTTTGCTTTGTTCAGACTTAGTGCCAGTTAAAGTTAATGTAGGCTAACTCTATGTATTAGTTCGACTTACCAATACTGCTATTTTCAACGCCGTAATTACGAAAATAGACACAAAATATCACGGCTCATAACCTATCCACTGGGATATGTCTTAGTAGTTTTAGACGCTATTAGTTAGAATTCTTTGGCGCGAATGTCGTGCTTTCGTTACAAAGTCAAGTGTCAGATTAGTGAGGGGACATAAACGTTGACATTTTAGTAAGGCTAGTGTTGCGCCACACCGGCACAGTGTCAGATTTTCTTCCTAACAGTAGGCTTTTAATATTTTCTTAAGAAATAACTGCGATGATGTCTTACTAATCATCTTACTATTATTATAAATGCGAATGTTTAGATGTTTGTTAGAAGGTATCTTCAGAACTTCTGCATGGACTTTGATGAAATTTGTCATAGATGTAGAACATAGTCTGGAAGAACACAGACTACTATTATTTTTTTAATACTGCGCGAAAGGAGTCGCAAGCGACTTGTATTTAGTATAATTTTATGATATACTTGACATAGCAAAATGCTATTAGCCATTTAACAGATACCCTAAGGCTGTGTTGACAATTCTCTGACCGGACAAGCGACTTTCTACACGATGTTGGTATAAGTGGAAACTCGACGGCGACAAAGAATAAACGAGTCGCAGACACTGAATGAGGTTAAGCAGAATATCTTGTGTTGGTAATTTATGTATTTAAAACTTATAATACGAAAAATATAATATATAATACGATCTTTATATTTTAAGTCTTATATTCACTTCACGTCGAGCGTCGATAGCTCAGCGGGTCAAGCACTTAACTTGTAATCTGCAGGTCCTGGGTCCGAATCCCGCCATGTACCAATGTGTTTTTCCATTTCCGATTTACATATATACATTTATCCTATGTTGTTACGATGAAGGAAAACATCGTGATGCTGCACATATCTGAGAAAGTCAAAGATATGTGTGAAGTCAACCCGCACTTGGCCAGCGTGGTTAACTATGGACTAATCACCCTTAACTTAGTGTAGGCAAGGAGCCCCTCGGTGGGGACGTATACTAAGCTGATAATGATTCACTTTTGCTCGGTTCCAAAGGGTCATAGATTATATGTTAATAACCTTGATTGACTTTGCTTAATTATCTTTTTGGAAACCTCAAAGAGATTTGTTTAAATCTGTACTTTTTAGTATTCTTCTTCTTCTTCTTCTCAGCCATGAGACGCCGACTGCTGGGCATAGGTCTCCCTCAAAGATCGCCACGATGACCGGTCTTGTGCCACCCGCATCCAGGACGCTCCCGCAACCTTGACCAGGTCATATATCCATCTTGCGGGAGGCCTGCCCACGCTGCGTCGTTTAGTATTAACACTTTGAAACAAATGCTTCAATATTATTAATTGTCAAATACTTAGATGTGCTTTTTCGGTTAAGATCTTTTTTTTTCTTTTAGAGTTAACAGCAAATAATAAAAAAAAAAATAATAATAAAAATCGTTTATTTAGGCAACAAAAATTATGATAAAATTACATAGTAATAGTACGCCTGATTCCTAAACTAGGTTCTAGACCCGTATTATAGGAGCCAGGTCTCTTTCGTCTTAGTGCTATAGTATAAGTAATATGTTAGTTACATTGTGAGATTTCTTGCCTTACTTAAGAATTACAAAAAAAGAGAAAAAAAAATATAATTAAAATAGCTTAATATTGCATGTAAATATTTGTGCGTGTTTATGTACGTACGAGTGGATGCATATGTTCGTGGGTGTATGTATATTTCTTAGAGAAAATGTATGGATTGAAAGGATTCTATATAATAAAATCAATGAGTTTTTCAGTATCTGCATAGTTTAGATTTACAAGTATATGGAATAATAAGTTTTTACATTTTAAGGAGGTAAGATTGAGTATTTTGTTTTCTTTGTGTATTTTGTTATATAGGCATGGGCCCAGGAAGTATGGAAATTTTCCAGAAAACATGGTTCGTACTCTTGGAACTTCACATATGCTGTGTAAGGAGCGCTGCGTGGAGACTAAATCTTTTTTGTATGTCATTAATGAGTGTTGATGCAGAATAAGAGTCTGTATGTATAATTGTCTTACTGTAAGAACTTTACATTCCCTATACAGATTAGCTGTTGGGTATCTGTATGGACGGTTTGTACTACATTTTAGTATACCTCGTTGGGCTCTCTCTAAAGGCAGAAGATGCGTTTTATTTGTACCACCCCAAGATGAAATACAATAACATAGCACAGACTGGCATAGAGAGTAATATAATATTTTAGTGACGTCTTTATCTGCACAATCTCTGATGTTTTTAAAAACTGCTGTTAATTTTCTGATTCGCTGAGTTAATTGGTCTATATGCTCCGTGAAGGACAATTTTTTATCAATAATTACGCCAAGGTATCTAATTGAATCAACTTTTTGTATGGTCTGACATTTACACGTGACACTCGAGAAGGACTTTTGACAGGTAGATGAGGTGTGTGCAAATAGGGGGAAGGACTCAAAAAATGGAGGGTTCTTAATGGAAAATGCTATATACTTTGTTTTTTCTATGTTTAATGTTAATTTATTATTTCTAAGCCATATCGAGACGTTGTTAAACGCTTATATTTATAATTATATTATAATTGTCAAAGTGAAGAAAAATGTCAAATCTCACGTCTTACTCTTACTAGTATTATAAATGCGAATGTTTAGATGTATGGATGGATGATGTTAGTATCTCCAGAACTGCTGTATAGATTTCGCTGAAATTTGTCATACATATAGAACATAGTCTGGAAGAACACATAGGTTACGAATTATTTTTTTTTACTCCGCGCGGACGGAGTCGCGGGCGATAGCTTAATGAATATTACTGATATAAATTTATTTGAAATTCTTTTAACTTATCTTAGTTATTAATATAGTAAAAATAGAAAACACCATTATATAATGGCGCGTCTACGTTTGTCGATTCTTTGCCGGGTCATCTGACTTTCACCTTACCTTACGAGATGAGCTTTCACGTGATATCGACAAATGTCAATTGATTAAGAAAAAATCAAATAAATAAAAATATACGCGTAGAATACATAATAGAATAACCATTTTATTTTTTTTACTGCGGAAAAAACCAACTAGATTAGTAGTCTATGTGTTCTTCCAGACTATGTTCTATATGTATGACAAATTTTCTCGAATTCTGTTTAATCGTTCGAACAAACATCCATCCAAACATTCGCATTTATATTATTACTAGCTGTCGCCCGCAACTCCATTCGCGCAAATAAAAATATAATGTGTAGTCTATATGTTCTTCGAGACTATGTTCTATATGTATGACAAATTTCATATAGATCCATGCAGTTGATTAAGATACCGTCTATCAAACATCGATTTAAACTTTCGTATTTATAAGATTACTAATCGCCATTCGTTGTTTGACCTTAATTCATAATTAAAGAATTTTACTTACATATTAATTTGAAGTGTTTTAACATTAGTATTGTAAATAATAGACGATTAAATTAAAAGTTAGTGGCTTAAAGTACAGGTACGCTAAGGCCCGAAACGTTCACAAACCTTTATAAATAGACAGGCTATGAGACGTAGAATTTTGTGCCTATTTGATTATCGACTTTTTGTCGCTGTTTTTTTTATATTATAAGGTGGTAAACGAGCAAGCGGCCACCTGAAATCACTGAAATAGCGAAGTGACTGTTGCCCATAGACATACGTAATTGCATATGCGCTGCCCACCTTTAATCGACAGAGGAGAGGATGCACAGAAAGAAAATACTTTCCCTTCCCATGCATCCTCTCATCCGGAAAGTACACTTCCACTTCCTATCCTTTCCTTATAAGAAATAGGATGGGAAGGGAAAGAGGACTAAAATTAGGTCTCAGGGACGCACACTCATCATACTGTAATTGGAATTAATTCCACTTGAGGCCTGACTTCTGTATGGTCGTGGTATTTCATCGGACGAGCCGGGACAATTCGTGCGAAGGTGTTAAAGCGGGCTCTACCACTGTTGATGGTATTAGTTTGTAGCTGTGAAGTTAATTCGAACTAATAATATAGATTGAATTAACTATCACGTAGCAACAACAGACGTATTTAAATCGGAACAAAGTAAGCTATTGATTAGTAACTAATATTTTATTTTGTTTGTTCCAGTTTCCTCCTTGGAGAGCGGTAAGTGACAAATCTAAAACCTACAACAGGTCTTGAATAGACGTGCATATAAATAAACTAACTGTCGCCCACGACTCCGTCTGTGTGGAATTAAAAATAACTTAATAAGTAGCCTATTTAACGTAATAACACTTTTAATTAAATAACAAAAAAAACGAAATAAATCTTACTAATATTATAAATGCGAATGTTTGTATGGATGTTTGTTAGAAGGTATCTCCAGAACAGCTACATGGATCTCGATTATATTTGACATAGATGTAGAACATAGTCTGAAAGAACACACAAGCTAATTAAGTTGTTTTAATTCCGCGCGAGTAGTCACGTGCGACAGCTAGTATTATAAATGACAATATTTGGATGGATCTTTGTTAGAACAGCTGCATGGATCTCACTGAAATTTGTCATAGATGTAGAACAGTCTTTCCAAAAGTGTGCGATAACGTCCCCTTGTGTGCGCTGCAGGTCTCAAGTTGCGGGTTATAGTAAAAGTTTCCTTTACAATTCTCCGTTAATATACATATATAGGTCACAATAATTAATTTAATTTAATTTGAAGTTATAGTGGTTTTTAAATATGTGAAAATATGGCAGCGCTAAAAACATATTTATTCTCAAAGTGGGCAGTAGACAAAATAAGTTTGGGAACCACTGATGTAGTCTGGAAGAACACTTCTACTAATAATGTTTTTTTACTTACGCGTGGAGAGTCACGGGCGACAGCTAATACGCGCACATTTGCTTCTTACGTCATTCGAATAAACGTAAATTAGTAACCATTTAATAATTAAAATCGATATACTCGTATAGTATGTAGGTGCCGAAATCAACGTGAAAGTGTTTTATTCACGTTTACATCTCTCGTATTGATACTGAAGTGAGGCTGAATCACTTTCACTGCGTATATACGTACAGACCTACTAACGTACAGACACGGCATAAAATTAAATAAAAATTTATGTTTGTATGTCTGGCTTTGACTTTTTTAAACAATTTGGAAGGAATATACTAAAACTAAATGCTTTTTTTATTATACTAACTTTTTTAGTAGTATATAAAGGAGCGTCGGTGGCTCAGGGGTTAAGCACTTGACTTGCAATCTGCAGGTCCTGGGTTCTAATCCCGCCATGTACATGTTGTTTTTCGATTTCCGATTTACATATCTTATCTTATATCTTAAAATGAGCAATTCTTGTATATATATTACATAATTGGAATCTCGGAATCGACTCCAACGATTTTCATAAAATTTAGTATATAGGGGGTTTTGGGGGCAACAAATCGATCTAGCTAGGAATCATTTTTAGAAAATGTCATTTTATTTGTGTTTTATCGATAATCAACTTAAACATAAACTTAACTTTTTCTATCGTTAAGATCGAAAAATATTATTCATATTTCATCATTTTATTAGTAATTCGTACTTAAATATAATTTCCAAAAAACAAAATTAAAAAAAAAAATACCGGGGAATGCTCGGTCATCCAGATTTTGTACATTTATCCGACGATCTTACGGTGAAGGAAAACATCGTGATGTTGCACATGTGTGCGAAAAAATTCAAAGATATGTGTGAAGTCAACCCGCACTGGGTCAGCGTGGTTGACTATGGCCTAATCACCCTTAACATAGGGTAGACTCCGAGCCCCTCGGTGGGGACTTATAGTGAGCTGAGGATGAATACGGAACGACTTAACGGTTCCTGATTAAATTTGGCATAGATGTAGAACATAGTCTGGTATATTAGAAAATAATTCCCAAATAAAACAAGATTCTAAGTTCACGGGAAGTATCCTGTAGGTTTTGATTCCCTTGCGAATGTCGAAAGTTTGCGAAAATTTGCGACATAAACGGTTGTATCTTTTGATTGCTTTTTAGAAGTTTTATTTTTTCACAACACATAGCGATCACAGACTTAAGTATTTGATATAAATTCCAGCTTGATACCTTCACGCGTTTTTGACAAAAAAGGTCTTGGCAGACTGACGGACAACAAAGTGATCCTATAAGAGTTCCGTTTTTCTCCTATGAGGTACGGAACCTTAAAATGAAAAATTTCTTTCATTCATATATATATTCTCACACAAAACAATATCAAAGATCATTCAACTAGATAAGGTGCAGTTTCACTGATCATAGATTAAGCGTGATAAAAATTTTACGCCAGCCAAAGTTTCCCACCTCTTACAATAAACATGAGGACGTAATAAAGAGTTTCATATACATTTCCTACCTTTATTGGACATAGGAAAAGAAGAAATTAAAAAAAGATCCGTCCCTTTTCTAGTCCCTTCCCCTGTAAGTTCCATTTTCATGTTTTCTTTCTTAATAAAAAATAGGTAGAATGTCAGCATCCATTTGTCAATGCGACATTTAAAAAAAACTTAATAAGTAGTCTATGTGTTCTTCTAGACGTTCTACAGCTATGACAATTTTCATCAAGATAGCTGTGCCGGAGATATCTTCTAGGAAACATCAATCCGATGGGTGGATTGATATTTGCTAGACATAAACTAGAAAAGATGATGATGATATTTGCTAGACATAAACATTCGCATTCATAATATTAGTAAGACTAGCTGTCGCCCAAGATTCCTTCCGCGCGGAAAAAAAACACTTAATAAGTGGTCTATGTGTTCTTCAAGACTATGTTCTATATGTATGTCAAATCTTCTAGCAAACATCAATCCATCCATCTAAACATTCACATTTATAATATTAGTAAGATTTCTTTTAAGTTCTAATTACGATGTCACATTTATTTAAAACGAAGTCATCGTATACTTCCGATGTATCACTTCCCAGTCTGTGACAGATTTTTTCTTTATTCTAATTAGATTAGTGATGTGCTTCCGCGATTATTAACAAAGTAAACAATGAATGTGGAAAAAAGTTAAAGAGGCTGCGACCTGTCCGCACTAGTGATGTGCTGTAAGCCGATAAGATATCGACAATTGTTTTTTTTACTTTGCTTAAAAAATATGACTTGATTTATTTATACACAATCAAAAAGTTCTATCTGTTGCTAATAAAATAAAATTCTATGTTGTATTTAGGAATATATTTTCATTTTACAGTCATAGGAAAGTGCTAAGTTTTGTCTTAATTTAACATATTAACAAATGTATCTTATATAGCCTCCGTAAATACTAAATGAGAAGATAAGAAACCATAAAAACAGCGTATTAATTTTAAGAAAATAATAAAAAACAAATTAAAAAATTGGCATGTGCAAATGCATTCGCTTCAAGCCGACAATCATAACTTTAAAAGTAATTGTCAGATCTATACATCTTTGAAGTTCGATATGGAATCGCGTCGAAGCGAATGCACTTTGTCCAACTCCGCTATTACAAATAAATCGATATAAACACGAACATCACTAAAGAATAAACTAGTTTGCCAGCTTTCATTATAGGTAGGACAGGCGTGAGCACATCGCTGATTGCAATTAGCCGAGCTTCACACAAGTGGTCCGCACAGAGAGCTATAACTATCTTTTATAATTTTTACGCACCACAGGAACTACAGATACGTTATCGGCTTTTAACGAATAAATGTTCATGAAAGCTACGTCACATTCGATCCTGGAAATCTTGAAATGAAAAGGCGTACAATTAATTCGATCCCCTATAAAGTACATAAGTTGGCAAACGAGCAAGCCACCTGAAATCGTTCAAATAGCGAAGCGACCGCTACCAATAGACATACGTAATTGCTTATGCGTTGCCTAATTTAATTCGACGAAGGAGACGCACAGAAAGAGAATATTTCCCCTTTCTATGCATCACCTTATTCAATGTTTAGATCATTAAAATTTGAATAAAAATACCATGAATAAGCAAAAATGCTTCAAAATTTATTCATTTTAAAATATGACAATATTCTGGAGATAGAATTTACAGTAATTTCTATATCTTATATAGTGAACGACTATAATTTGATTATCTGTTGCAGTTCCTTCTACTGCTGCTAAGCGTTGCGTTAGCAGAAGACTCACCACCCGGCCTCGTCAGCAAAGACAGCGAACAGGATCTTGTAGCTGAAGCATCACAATCAGGTCAGGAATATTTGTAACTATGGAACGAAAAAGGTATAGGATAGGAGAAGGACACGCCAGATATATTATCTTGTGTTATTCCAGGTGCACAAGCTCAGAAGCGTGATGCTGCACTTTCCAATTCATATGGTGAGCCACTGCCGGCCAACGCATACGGACCACCGCTGGACTTAAACATTAGTAAGTACAACTATTTATGACATAAGTGACATAAACAAATTATACAATAAGAATTTGTAGTCAGTTTTTGAATTAATCATCATCATCATCGCGTACTCAGTTCCAGATATTCAACTACCGGCACCTATCTACGGAGTACCAGATATCAAAGGCTTCCCCGACACGCCGCCAGGAGCTTACGGACCCCCCTCACCTGTAGTCTTCCCCAACCAGCAATACGAAGGTCCACCGCCACCTGTCTCCAAACCAAAACCTATCTACGGCCCGCCGAAACCGAAACCAGTGTACGGACCACCGAAACCTATCTACGGTCCTCCAAAACCAGTATACGGACCACCAAAGAAAACGTACGGTCCACCTAAATTTACAGTACCAAAGCCAAATTATGGTGCACCATTCAAACCACCGAAGATTACATTCCCGAAACCAGTATACGGTGTACCGAAACCGGTTTATGGTGTTCCAAAACCAGTGTACGGGCCGCCTAAGATCAATTACGGAGCTCCATTAAACGTAAACAATTTCCAATTACCAGATCTGTCAAATCAAATCTTCCAACAAAACGTTGGCGTCGGTAATTTTGATTTGGGATTAAATCTACCAGCTCCGATATATGGAACTCCTTTACCTAGTCTTCCATTGGATTTGAAACCTAACTTCCCAATACCATCAGACACTTATGGTCCACCGGGTCACATATTAGGACCAGTAGGACCTAATGACCAAGTAGTGGTCCACGATTTCGATAATGGTGGACATTACGGTCCTCCACAACCGGATCCGAACCCGAGACCACCTCATCCAGGTATCCCAGCACCACCTACTCCTCCTCACGTCTTGTATGATGGATGGAAACCGATTCCTGGAGTATCCAAACCATTGGTAGAACATGTTGACATACATACATCTAATATTCACGCATCAAATATTAATACAGCATCCCATATACACATAGACGATCAGTACGGACCACCACCTCCTGTTCCACAAGTGCAAGAAATCCACGTAAACTTAAATGGTAACTTACAAAATGTAAACCAAGGGTATTCGAACGCACAAATATCAACAGGCTACTCCAATGTACACCAAGATGCATTAGCGAATATCGATTTAAACGCAATCGTTGGTGGTGATTCCAATCACATCGATCAATCAAAGACTGTCTTCGAAGCGCATTACACTGAAAACAATCCTCATGGTAATCTATTAATCCAATCAACAGGATTCGACAAGCCAATAGATAGCTACAGCGCTCCGCCGTTAGACTCATTATCCAATGGACCGTACCCACCTTCTTTAAGACAACAAGGAGCAAAGCTCATATCACCTACAAATATCTACGGAGTACCTAAACCTCATGCCAACTTACCATTACCATATGGTACATTCTCCGGTGGTGGACACTCCATACACACTGGAGGTAACACACCAAAACATCCTATCAAATTCAGAGAATCAGTACCTGAAGGATTGATACAGCAAATCGGGCATACAGTACACCACAAAGATTCTCATGGTATAGATCATTTGAAACAAGGACCAGGATATTTACCCCCACCTATTAGAGAAATAAAAGACATAAACACACAAACCGGTAACCATGGATACAACGGTGTATCCGTATCTATAGAACCATCGAATCTATACAGTTTACCACATTCAGGCAGTCCAATAAACTTCCAAAATCTTCAGCAACCTAGCAATTTATACGGATCACCAATAGATTCGTATTCTGCACCTTTACTAACTGTAGGCGACCATACAGCTTCAGGATCAAGCAATAACGCAGTCACCGCTACTATTGATGGAACTATCCTAGCGAACCTATCTAGCTTAGAAGCTGCAGCAATATTAAAGCATTGCCCATACCATGAAGCTATTTTAAAAGCTGCGAAAGCAGGAGAGAAAATCCCAGCTGATTTAGCATCGAAATATGTAGCTAGCTTAAGTTCTTTAGGCTCAACATTCGCTAAAAATCATCAAAATATTATAACATCACAAAACAATTTCAATATACCAGCACCGGGCAGTGAGTCTGTTTCGTATAATACCAAAGACCTATCCACTGCATCACACACCTTGGTACAAACAATACTACCTACAAATACAATAAAGAATGAAAAGACAGAAAAAACAAGCATCCAAAAAGGTAAATCGTTAAAAGACGAGACTGGAAAACATACTCACAAAGAAGAAAACATAAATACAGTATCAGAACAAATATACCATACGTCGCAGAAAATTAAAAATCTAAGCGAAGAAACCAAACGTTTGCAACAGAAGTTAGCTTCGAGTAATCAAAATTTGAATCAATACGGATCTGAAATTCCTGTAAAAGGTAACTTAGCGACTTATTCCTTACAAATACAATCGTCAGAAGACGGTAAAGGAAAAGGAAGTCCTTCCATACCTCACGAACAATTACTATCAGAAGGTCTTCTACAAAGTATCTTGCAAGCGATAGAAGAACCTACACAAACTCAGAAATCCACTCAAATTATAAAATCACAACAAACGATTGATTTCGGTAATTTAGATATCGGCGGTTTAGTTTTACCAGCAGGTTATGAACCTGTTGACAGAACCAAAGACAAACCACAACAAAGAGATCAAGATATACAAAGCACGAAAAACATACAACAAATATTGCATAGAGAAAGCACTAACCATAAACATGAAGATCGTATTGACTGTGATTTGAAACCAGATAACTCAATAACACATACAATTGTGGTTCCTGCGCCTGGAGTAGAAACTATTCAGCCAGTAAAAGATATCGAAGACAACGATGTTGCTATATATTTCGGCAGTTCTGTTACAGAATCAAATAAGCCAGTTACCGAAATATCAGTAGCAACTAGCATTAGTGAAAATAAGAACAGTAAAACATCAAGTTTCGGTGAAAAAGTTAAAAAACGATCATAAATTATTGAATTTAGGGTAGATTCTAGTCTGTTAGACCAGTGAGCAACAATGAAGTTGTAAAATTATATTAAAATAGTACAAATAGATAACTTTAAATCATAAAATTACGTAATAAAGAACTTAATCCGTCCAGAAATCTCATCAAAAAATTCGTTCCCATATATCATTCTTAATTTATTGACTTACGTCAGTCACATTAAGTACCTTATATTTTGGACTAAAGATACCAAAACGGGTATTTCATGAAGACTATGATGTTTCGTAGATGATTGTTGAACGCATTATGAATACAATTTTACAAAGCTCACTGGAGCCATTTTATAGGCTTAAATTAATAAAAAATTCCATTCTGAATTTTAATACAACGCTCTCGAAGTAAAATGGACGCCATATTTGATTGTTTTGACAGCTTTATTGTTAAAATAAAACTGTCAAGACTTTACCGCGAAAGTTTTATTATCACGTAAAATTGTTTTATTAATTTATTTTTTGTATTTAAATTATTTATTATTAATAATCTTAGCTTTAAAGTCTATACAGTATTTGGGTGTAAGGTTGCTATGTGGCTCTTGTTAAAGAAAAAAAATATGAAATTAGAAAAAATAACGTCTCAAAGTCTGTATTGTCATGATTAGTGATGTGCTATTTATTAATAAGATGTCGATATGAATGAATTTTTTGTCTGTACAATTTATCAATACTTCATGTATGTGAATTAATAAAAATTATTCTTAAAATTTTTGTTTTATTGGCTTTATTTTGATTATTTTAATATTAGATTGTTTGGCGAAACATTAAAAGTAATAATGAAGGAAATCTGTGTGATAATATGCACTATCGTTTTTTTATTTAAAAAAAGTCACAAAACTGGTGCTAAGTGTCCGCCATTGAGTATTTAAAACGCTTGTTGACCCAACTATGTAATACTCTTATCCAGTCGAAAAATTAACACTACAGTGACATAGAATACTATTTATAAAAATATAAGTAATGATGTATTTAAGTAAAGAAACATGCAAATTTTATCAAAAGTGAACAATACTTACAAAAATATTTTACGTAAAGAAAAACGTATTTGCGTGCGTAACTCGAAACGCGCTTAGGAATTTGACATTTGTCGAATACAAATTAAATGTCAGTTAGAGCAAAATAAGTAAAAGGAGTATCAAAAACGCTGTATTTTAAGATTAAAACATTTAAATGAATTAAACAGCAATGAATTCTAATATAATTACACGGTATGGGAATGCGATATGCGAAGGCTGTTTAAGCATAGATAGAAAATTGACCACAATAACAGATGCAGACAATTTGAAAATATATTTCGATCTACTTGAAGAAGTAAGTGTTTTATATTTATTATGAGTTAAATGCAGTGCTAATTTATGATTAATATGTCGTTTTCGGTAAACTCTTTCTGCATTTTGGTTACATTCAAAGAAAATGCTAGCTTATTTAGTTAGAAGAAATTTTTTTTCCAACTCGTTACAAGTATTTGTTTAGAAAACATAGCCTCATTTACATTAGTTCTTGTCCACTTAATTTCTTAAGTGTTGGTACACTATATTTACGTCTTAAATATCAATTAATTCATAATTTAAGTAATCTCTTTACAAACTTATTTTCTTATCTGTTTCATTGCGTAAATTTTACGACAATATTCTGTTCATAAAGTCAGCTATACACTGACCACATACAACACGCACCTGTCCAGTTTTAACTGAATTTTGACAGTATTTTGCTTAAATCAGAGACTACAATATTCATTGTTATTATAGACATAACTATATTTTTTTTATAGACTTTATTACTTTATAGACTTTATTATAGACATAACTATATTTGTTTTAGAATCAAATAAATGAACTCATATTGTGTTGGGAATGTAAAGCTAATGTCCGCAAACTGGCAACATTTAGGCGGCAAGTTAAAAAAGCACATAACACTCTGCTTAATCATTTGGTGAGTTTATTTTGAACTCTTTATCTGTTCCACTATAAATGTGTAATTTTAGATGGATGGATGTTTGAAGGTATCTGTGGAAAGTCTCAATGGATCATGATGAAATTTGGCATGTTTGTAAAGCATGGTATGGACGAACACATAGACTATTTTTTTTTAATTATCCCTGGAGTTGCTCATTGAGTTGATTTATCTAAATTCAATCTGGATTAATATGTTAACACTAGCGGACCCGACAGACGTTGTCCTGTCTACACGTCTTTAATTTGAATAAATTAATATGAAATTAATATTTGATGAAAATTGTGAATCTAAACCATTCCCAGATCCCCTTGAACACACACAAAAATTTCATCAAAATCGCTCCAGTCGTTTGAGAGAAGTTCAGTGACATACACTCTCACAGATGAATTATATATATAAAGATATACACATATATAAATATTTTTATATTTATAATATTTACAAGGTTTGAATTAATATTGGATATATAATCTAAGAGTATTAATTTATATTTTTTTTCAACTCTCAAATTATCAAATCTCTACATTTTTTTATTTATCAACAATTTTGTCCACTCAAACTTAAAAAAAAAAACTTTAGTAACCTATGTGTTCTCTATGTTCTACATCTATGACAAATTTCATCAAGATCTATGCAGCTGTTCCGGAGATATCTTCTAACATACATCTAAACATTCGCATTTATAATATTAGTAAGATTTTTGTGACTAAATTTAAAATAATATTTTCCAGATAAATGAATCTATGAATTTAACATCATTAACCAAACTGTCGATATTACGATTAGATCCATTAAATATTGACACAGAGAATCCATTAATGGATTCATTAATGGATACAGAACAGATACAACCCATGACATTTGTTAAACTTGAAAGTCCACAAAATGTGTCAATGGAGTCTGAAGATTGTGATTTGGATATTAAGGTATGTTTTCATAATCTTAATGTGTATATTAGAGGAAGTTTGAAAGTAGCGCCAGTAGAGAAATTGTGGAGTAAAAGATTAGCGTAGTCTGGACATGTTATGCTGAGAGATGATGATATAAGCCGGAGGCCTAATGTATTTCTCTTTCACTTCCCATCCTTTTTCTTATTAGGAAAAGATGGAAAGTGGGAGTGGACTTTCCGGATGAGAGGATGCATGGAAAAGGGAAAATATTATCTTTCTGTGCATCCTCTCCCCCGTCGATTAAAGTTAGGCAACGCATATGCAATTGCGTATGTCTATGGGCAACGGTCACTTCGCTATTACAGCGATTTCAGGTGGCCGCTCGCTCGTTTGGCACCTTGTGATATATAAAAAAAAAGGATCTTGATGAAGTTGTCATAGATTTAGAACATAGTCTGGAAGAACATATAGGCTACTAATTATGTTTGTTTTAATTGTGGGTGGACGGAGTCGTGGCCGAAAGGCAGTACCTTACAATCTGGCTCTTAAAAACAATATTATAAAAGTTTTTTTTAATTACGATTAAAAAGTTGTGTGTTTTGTAAATTTATATGTTTTATGTATTTATTTTTTCTTGATTAAATTTAACTTTAAATTTTCTTCAATGTTATAATTTAAATATTTAACTCTTTCAGTTGGACACAACAGATCCATTTATAACAAAAGAAAACTGTCATTCTGATGAAGAGCCATTGACAAATAAAAAAACAACAAGAAAAAAAGTTGGGAAAAATCCTAAAAAAAATAAAAGTACCTCAAAAAAGAACCGTACAAAAGGTAAGTAGAAAAAAAAATTCATTGATTTTTTTTTTAAATTTCATATTCAATTAAACAAGATTTTGACATACAGACATCTCAATATATTATCTTACTAATATTATAAATGCGAATCTTTGGATGTACTATCTGTCGCCCGCGACTCCGTCTTCTTTCAGATGTTCTACATCTATGACAAATTTCATTAAGATCCGTTGAGGCGTTCCGGAGATTTTTATAACATAAGGTGGCAAACGAGCGGTCACCTGAAATCGCTGAAATAGTGAAGTGACCGTTGCCCATAGACATACGCAATTGCATATGCGTTGCCTACCTTTAATCAAAGGAGGAGAGGATGCACAGAAAGATAATATTTTCCGTTTCCATGCATCCTCTCATCCGGAAAGTCTACTTCCACTTCCCATTCTTTCCTTATAAGAAAAAAGGTGGGAAGGAAAAGAGGACTAAATTATATGTCCGGGACGCACAATCATCAGACTGTAGTTAGAATTACTTCCACTTGAGGCCTGTCTTCTGTGTCGTGGTATTTCACTGAGAGAGTCGGGACAATGTATAAAACGTCCTTATCTAAAGATACCTACCGACAAGCATCTAAACATTCGCATTTATAATATTAGTAAGATTCTAACAGACACATTTAACTATAAAATTACATATATGGTTCAACAGATAAAAAAGATAAAGAAAAAAAAGAAATATCACATGGCGGTGAAGTCATTAAATATACGATGCATTCAATAAAAACACTAAAACGCTTAAATATGGTTGATAATGAATATATGCAATTGGTTGTTTTAACATGGGAAGAGGTTAGTGCATACTAAACTCTATATAACTAGCTTTAGTCCCCGACTTCATCCGTGCACAAAAAAAAACTTAATTAGTGTAGCCTATGTGTTCTTTCAGACTATGTTCTATACGTATGCCAAATTTAATCGAGATCCGTTCAGCCGTTCTAGAGATATCTTCAAACATCCATCCATCCATCCACATCACATCCATCTAAACATTCGCATTTATAATATTAGTAAGTTAAATAAAAAGCAGCTCTTCTAGGCATAAAATGAATAAATAGTATCCTATGTCCGTCTCCTGGCTCTAAGCTACCTCCTCAAGCCTCACCAATTTTCAGTCATATCGGTAAAGCCGTTCTTGAGTTATAAATAGTGTAACTAACACCACTTTCTTTTATATATAGATAGCTATAGTCCCCGACTTCATTCGTGCACAAAAAAAAACTTAATTAGTAGTCTATGTGTTCTTCCAGACTATGTTTTATATGTATGACAAATTTCATTGAGATCCATACAGCTGTTTTGGAGATATCTTCTTACAAACATCCATATATTCTGCGTTCAACAAGAATCTGCGTTTCATTTGATGAGTGTTTGTGTAGAGTTAAGCAAAGAGAAAGGAGAGATGACTTAGGGAAGTGTTTAAGAAGGGGAGCCTACAATGAGTTAGGGGTGATTAGACCATAGTCATCTAGGTCCAGTGCGGGTTACACATATCTTTAACTTTCTCAGATATGTGCAGCATCACGATGTTTTCCTTCAGCATAACATAAGATGTACATATGTAAAAACATGTTGGTATAGCGGGATTTGAACTCAGGACACATTGTGGCACCGATGTGTTCCCATCCTTCTTATCATCTGTAGGTACAAGAAGAACGTCAAAAAGCTTTAGAAAGTGATACATTCAAGAAGATGCTGTATCGATGCTACGATTGTGTGCTTGGATTTAATCATAAGTTCAAATTGGATAATCATATGAAGAAACATGAACCAGTAAGCAACAGACGAATTACATAGTGCTTGCCCGTGACTTTGTCCATATTAATTTTTTAAAAAATAGCCTATAACATTCTCACATACCTTAGCTATCTTCCAGTCAAAGTTTGGTCGAAATCTGTACACGTTCCGGAGATTATTTGGAACATACACAAACTTGCAAACAGACAGACATACATTGTAAACAACACGATTTTTTTTTACAATATAACAATATAACGTAGAGGTATTCCAATTTTATAGATATTTAAAAACCTTGATAAGTGAAAAAAAGTTCGCGAATCGTTCAACTATGTATATTGCTATCTCTTTTGTTCTCAAAGTGATAAAAGGAGATATAATGTCTGCAGTCAATACTTAGTAAGATGTTTCTTTGTCTATTTGAAATGTTTTTCATAGGAATATGGTCCTGAAGTTTGCAACATTTGTAACATCAGATGCAAGCATGCATCCGCTCTCGTCGCTCATAAGAAGAGACATCAAGTCAAGTAAGTTTTAAATTATTTTAATTCACACTTTTCCTATAGATTTTTGATGATTCACTTATGTATGTGTTCTTCCAGACTAAATTCTATATGTATGTCAAATTTAATCGAGGTCCGTTAATCCGTTCTGGAGATATCTTCTAATATGCATCTACTCCAGTGGTTCCCAAACTTATTTTGTCTACTGCCCACTTTGAGAATAAATATGTTTCTAGCGCTGCCATATTTTCACATATTTAAAAACCACTATAACTTCAAATTAAATTAATTAATTATTGTGACCTATATATGTATATTAACGGAGAATTCTAAACAAAACTTTTACTATAACCAGCAACTTGAGACCTGCAGCGCCCACAAGGGGACGTTATCGCTCACTTTGGGAGAGACTGATCTAAACATTCGAATTTATATTAGTAAGATTGTATGATATGACGGCTACAGTAAAAACAAGGATTGTGACAGTTTTTTGACATTGACACACGTTAGTGAGCTGTGAAAAGTTTTGACATACACCCAACTAATCAAATAATTTTATCCATCTCTATATTATTGTGAACCTATGAACATATTATAAATTCACAGTAATAAGGGAAGTACAGTCAGAGTGTTTGTATGTGCGCGTGTTTGTAGATGGCGCTGCAGTGCGTGCGGAGGCGCGTGGTCGCGGGCGAGCGTGGCGGCTGACCACGTGTCGCGCGCGCACCACGCCGCCAACCCCACACACCAATGTTCACTTTGCACACAACACTTCCCGTGAGTACTTGTACCACAGACTTGTCATATTCTCTCTGAGTACGTTTATACAGGAAAAACCAAAAAAAACTAATCTCTTATTGACTAAAACTCTGGATATGACAGTTAGGAGTTATTAGAAACGTTTTTTTGTATAAAGTGGTTAACGCGCAAATGGCCACCTAAATATACTAAAAATAGCGAAACTTATGAATGCTTATGAGAATCCGTATTTGCATATATGTCTTGCGTACCTATAATCCGCAGAGGAGATGGCACAGAAAGAACACTTCCTTTCTCAAATCCACTTTCCCTTCCTTTCCTTAACTTATAAGAAACTAGGAAGTAGAAGACTACTAAAATTACGTCTCCGGCACAAAGATTCATTAAACTGTAGTTGGAATTACTTCCACTTGACGCCTGTCTTCTGTGTTGTCATGGTATTGCTCCTGACAAGCCTATTTGCTGACGTCTACTACAGTTGAAATTTGTTTAAAATTATTGTGTATTAAGTAATATTATTCTCTCTCCAATATAGTACATTAAACAAGCTTCGTTTACATATGAAGCAACATTCGGAACGCGTGAAATGCGACCAGTGTGACAAGACCTTTGTGGATCGCAGCGCCATGAGGAATCATCTCTTGTGAGTACAGATCTACTTATATTAATAATAATAATTAATATTAAGATATATTGACATCTCTTTTATTCCTTAAGAAATGAAAGAGATAAGTGTATGAGTCAAAAGAAACACTGCAATTAAAAACCACAGTTAGCTTTTATTTAATAGATGTATTTTTTAATTTAATCATTCAAATAGATATTGTTCGTATTGTAGTATCCACATGGGTGATAAAGAATTCTCGTGCCCGCATTGTGATAAGAAGTTCCTGTTCAAGCGCGCTATGGAGGTGCACCGCGCCACTCATGACCCTGATGCAAGGATATACTGTTATAGTGTACGTACATAATACATATACTAAACTATACACCAACACTAGAAAATTACATAACACTTTCGCTTACGTAACACTAGCTGTTGCCCGAGATTCCGTACGCATAGTATTAAAACTTAATTAGCCTTAGTAGTCTATGTGTCCTTACCGGATAACTTGTGATTGCTTCTTTTGTATTTAAATTTAGACTTTGTTTGTGGTTTTAAAACTTATGTGAGATGTTTTTTAGTTTGATTATCACATACATGTTGTTTGTATGTGTGTCAATATCATTGTGACATGCATGTTAAAAGTTTGAACCGATTTAGACGAGAAAGGTGTCATTCGATTCGTATTCTTCCCCTGAGTGTCATAGGGTTATAGTTAGCCGGAGTTTTTAACAATATTTTTTTATGGTCAATGAATTAGTATACGTATATGTTTCAGTGTGATTTAAGCTTCAAGAATGAGATGTCATATAAACAGCATATGTTGTACAGTCTCAAACATGTCGATCCATCTAGACTTAAGTGAGTATCTACTTCTAGGTAATATTTCTTTTACAGAACAACAATGAACCTTCTGTGTACAGACGCGGAATTAAAAATAAACTAAACTAGGCTATAAGTTCTTCCAGACTATGGTCTACATCTATGTTAAATTTCAGCAAGATTCATGCAGCTGTTACAGAGAGACCTTCTATCAAACATCCATTTAAACATTCGCTTTCATAATATTAGTAAGAAGTAAGTTTCCCAAGTTGTCATCTATGTGTGTAGGTACGCGTGCGAGTTGTGCGACAAGAGGTTCGTGAAAGCCAAGCGTCTAGAGGAGCATCACATAGCCGTGCATCTAAAAGCAACTCCAGTCAAATGCACCGCGCCTGGATGTAATTTTGTCAGTACATACATACAAACATTTTTTTCTTTGATAGTATGATATCAAACACGGAAAGCCACTTGATTTTAATAACATAGCGCTGATAACACTTTCTATAGAAATTTAAAAAGGTTAAAGTTGTGTTTCATAGATTTTTCAATAATACAACTTATAGCGTGGAACCCAGAAGTAAAGACGGAGCCTAGCAAACCGTTTGGCACGCTACTTACACATCTTTCTCTTCTCGACCTCATTAAAAATTAGTAGTCTATGTGATCTTCTAGACTATGTTCTATATCTATGTTAAATTTCAGTGAGATCCATGCAGCCGTTCTGGAGATAACTATAACACATGTAACTGTTTACGTAATGGATGTATATATGAAAATGTATGTGTCTGTATGTCAGGCGTGCTCGTCTCGTCCAGTACTGCGCACACACACGCGCATGTTGCATCGCAACGCGCGCGCGCGACGCGACCATGTCTGTCATCTCTGCGGCAAGACGTACACGGTCAGACATACACACACACCACTCGACTATTTATATTGCATTTCATCATCATCAGCTCACTATACGTCCCCACTGAGGGGCTCGGAGCCTACCCTAAGTTAAAGGTGATTAGGCCATAGTCAATCACGCTGGCCAAGTGCGGGTTGACTTAACACACATATCTTTGAATTTCTCAGATATGTGCAGCATCACGATGTTTTCCTTCATCATAAACACATTGGTACATGGCGGGATTCGAACCCAGGACTTGCAGATTGCAAGTCAAGTGCTTAACCCCTGAGCCACCGACGTTCTCGTAACTGTATTAACTGCATTTACCATACCCTTACTTTGGACATATGTCAAAGAATTCGTCTCCCACATATCAAAAATCGTAAATTAAATTGTCTATATAAGAGCTAAACATATTTATATTGTTATGACAAATTTTCTAGTTAATTTGTGAGCGTCAAATTACATTTTATTAATTATTTATTGATATCACTGTAAATAAAAAAGTATAATAATTTCTCCGTAACTGGAACACCGCGAACGAACATGACTGTACTTGGTCCACTAGCGCCATCATTCAATATTAATACATTTCATCATATTCATTAAGTGCTGCCACGGAATTAAAAAAAAAACAATAAATGATGTTCTTGCAGACCATGTTCTACATCTATGTCAAATTTCATCAAGATCTATGCAGCTGTTCCAGAGATATCTTCTAACAAACATACATCTAAACATTCGCATTTATAATATTAGTAATATATTTGTATGTCAGAGTAAGGCAGCACTCCAAGGTCACTTGCGAGCTCACAGCGGGGAGAGGCCGCTGCGCTGCGCACGTTGTCCTGCTGCCTTCGGGTACCCTGCTGCACTGTACAACCATACCCGTCTCGTACATCTCGGACATGCGGTCAGTCATACACACGACACACACAAAATAATCCATACAAAGGGTATGGACCAATATCTCAAACGTTATCGAACTCATGTGAACTTGACTGAAGATACTCAAAGATTTTTCCCCTCAAAAAAAAACTAATGTCCATAACTGTTAAAACTATACGACTAGTTCCCCTGAATAGAATGAACGTCAAATAGCTCAATACTGTCTTTACTTAGGGATGTCAAGGGGGACAAAACTAGTTTTAGTACCCTAATAATCAATATGATTATGACAGCCCTAAAACAGTTCGCAAAATCTTTTTAACACAATATATTAAATCTGGCTTAAATTATTTTATTTACTTCATTTTCTCTTTGGCTGAATATAAAAAGCTTTTGCCTTAAAAAATATGATTTGTTTACGGTTATAAATACTTTTTAAATCGATATTCCAGTTAACTTTTTTATTACAGAGTGGAAGAAATAAGACAAATGAGGTATCGCAAACAGTAACAGAGGCGACACTAGCGCCACTCACAGCGGAGCATGTTGACTCAAGGTCGATGTGGTCTCTTACACCAACTGTTGAAATATTACAGCAACCAACTGATACTTTACCGAGTTAATTAATGTGTTATTATTTTAACTTAATTTATAAAAGTTTAAACTGCACAGTTGTTTTATTGTCATACTAGCAGTCATCCGCGACTCCGCTCGCGCGGATTTAAAAAAATAAGTATCCTATGTGCTCGTCTAGACTATGTTCTAAATCTATGACTAATTTCACTGAAATACAAGCAGCCGTTCTGGAGATAGCTTCAAACGTCCATCCATCCAAATGTTCCCATTTATAATATTAGTAAGATTTATCAACTTTAAAGTTGAAATAATTTGTATTTCTTTCGTAGTGAGAAGTAAAGTGCAATTATTTCAATCGCAAATTCGATTATCCCGTAAATTACAGATAATTTATTCATGAACAGTTCCTTCACTATTAACCAAAGAAAATCTTAAGCCTCAAAATATTTCTATCATTTTTACCGCTGACTTTTTACCTTTTACTTCACAAAAAAAAACAAAAGTCAAACTGTCAAGACAAATGACATTGACATTTCCTTAAAAATAGTAAACAATGAAAATATAACCTCACCGTAACTACAAATAAAAATGAGACTAATTAATTTACTAAAAAATTTAAGAATAACTTATACACAAACAATAAGAACTTATTCAGACTACACTCCTAAACCGTTGCGTAGTTTAAAGCCAAAGTCAAATCGACAATACGTTCAATATTACGTGGATTCGTGCAGAGTTCGGGCTGTTGGTGGAAATGGTGGCGATGGGTGCATTTCTTTCCTAAGCGCCTGGTGTAAAGAACACGCTGGACCTGATGGCGGAGACGGTGGCCATGGCGGACATGTTATATTTCAGGTAAAAGATATAGCAGAATCTGCTGGCTAAAAATGTAGACGAAGACTGAAGAAAGTGACATAACATTATGCCAATAAGCTGTCTTCCGTGACTCCGCCCATGGTGAATTAAAAAAAACGTAATTAGTAGCTTATTATGTTCTTCCACACTGTGTTCTACATCTATGCCAAATTTCAGCAAAGTTCATGCTGCAGGTACCGAATAAAAAACATCCACCTACCCATCTAAACATTATCATTTATAATATTAGTAAGATTAATGGATAGATACATATATTTCCAGGCATCACACACAGTAAAGAGTTTAAATCACTGTAGATCTGTGGTCCAAGCTAAACATGGTGGTCGGGGAGACAACAAAGACTGTACGGGGAAGAATGCACAGCATGTTGTTATACCTGTGCCCTTAGGTGAGTTAGTTCTTACATTTCCATAATGATAGCTTGTACTTAAGCTGGCTCATTGACCTAAACATATCTCAGGTGATAACACAGTAAGATAATAATATTAAAGGTTTTCCTACCTGATTGATTCAAAACGTAATGTTTTTCTCGTATATATATGTATAATCAAATCAGGATAAGCGTGAGACCAGGGAACTCGGGTACTTCTTTGTCTTATAGAGATTTCTCTTTATTTTAACTTTCTTGCTTATAAAGGTTTTTCTTTATCCTAAACTGATATATAAACGGCTAAACACGTATATACGTCCGGTGGCAGCACCAAATAGTTTCAAGCACATCGTGGGTTCTTTAGGATGAGTGGTACTGATATTATTTCGCGGACCTATTTTATCCTAAGTTTCTTGTTGAATGTGTTTGATGTTTTAATTAACAGAGTTCAAGCTGAACTATTTGGATATCAGATTTGTTTTATTCCAGGTACAATAGTGAAGGATGCTCAGGGCCGTGTGTTAGGTGATCTTGAGGCTGAGGGCACAATGTTTGTGGCAGCTCGAGGTGGTGCTGGAGGCAGGGGGAACAAGTTCTTCCTCACCGCAACACAACAGGTATAGTTGGGTTACATTTTGTTATGTAAATTATTAAAATTCTAATAATCTGTGTTTATATATTACTTACATTGAAGTGTTTGTATGGAATTTCTATAAAACTTTATTGTTTTTGTCTTCATGTCTGTCCATGAGTTTGTTCCGGGTAATCTCCGGAATAGGTGGACATGGACTGGAAGGCAGCTGATCAACTCAGCCATATTATAGACTAGTTTTTTTCTAAATAAATTTCTATGTAGTTCTTACTAATATAAATGCGAAAGTTTAAATGGATGGATGTTTGTTAGAAGGCATCTCCGGAACAGATCAACAGATCTTGATGAAAGTCATAGAACATAGTCTGGAAGAACACATAGACTATTTCTTTTTTTAATTCCCCGCTGATGGAGGCAATTAATAATTTAATAATATTTTATATAGGCGCCAGATATAGCGGAGTTAGGCGCTGTAGGCGAGACTTGTGTGTACACATTGGAGGTCAGGTCAATGGCCCACGTTGGTCTGGTGGGCTTTCCCAATGCGGGCAAGAGTACTTTACTAAGAGCTGTAACAAGAGCTCGGCCCACTGTAGCACCTTACCCGTTTACAACAAAACAACCTCATATTGGTGAGATTTTATTGTGTTATCTTCTTAATATATAGATTCAAAGCTTTACTAATAGAATCAAAGCCATCTTGCTGCTTTTATTTTTCGAATATAGGTAAGCTGTCCTTTGTCCCGCACCGCACTAAACAGATTTGCTTTGTCTTTATTCGTGCTTCGTTGATGATGCAGCGCTATCATTTAAAGCACATTAAAATCCGTTGCGTGCTGTGCGTGCGGTGCGTCCGGCGCGGGACAATGGATACGTACTTTACGCAAACAAGCAAGCCATCTTGTTTGCGTAAAGTACGTATCCATTTCGCTATTAAGAAAGGCTAATGTTTTATCTACTCTTACTAACAGAGGACAGGATGTATAGAAAATTATTTCCTTTAACAAATCCCCTTCCTTTTATTACTAAAGGATAGGGGAAGACTAAAATTTACCTTCTGTTAGTTGATTCAAGGTTATATTTATGATTCTTTTACGTAAAGGGTAGGGAGGGGATGTTGATTTGACAGAGGAGGGGATGAATGAAGAGTAAATTTCCCTTTTCTGTATGTCCCATCCTCTGTCGATTAAAGATAGATATATGCATTGGTCTATGGATCTATTTGGTCGTTTGCCATATTATATATTGTTTTTTATTTACCTTAGAATGATTTTGTATAAACAGTTGTATATCTCCATTCATTATGTATCCAGGTATGGTTTTATATGATGACTACGAGCAGATAGCTATTGCAGATCTTCCCGGACTCATTCCTGGTTCACATAAGAATTACGGATTAGGTAAGACTTTATTATTATTCTCTTGATTCTTGTAAAATCAGTTCATATCTTACTAATATTATAAATGCGAATGCTTAAATGTATGAGAGTCATAGATGTAGAACATAGTCTAGACCAGAGTTACCCAAACTTTTTTGTGTCGTAGACCCCTTGCTTATTTTTCCATGTTAAGTAGACCCCCTACTTACCTGATATTGATGTCCTGTAAATTTCTAAACATATATAATAATTGTTTTACTTCATAGTTACTTTTATAAATAATGTATATGTTTTCATACTATAAGATAGTATTATGTAAGTTAATAGGTACTACCATTGTATGTGTTGAGATCCACTATCGTGGACTCCCATTTTCATTTCATGGACCCCCAAATTTTTTTTTCGCTGACGTAGACCACTTGCAGATTGTCATTGACTAGGGGTCGATATAGACCACTTTGGGAATCACTGGTCTAGAAGAACACATAGACTATTAAGTTTTTTTTATTTCCGCCCGGCCGAAGACAGTGGTCGACAAATTTTTGGGCATTTATAAGGAGAATGCATAAAAACATCCAAAAATTTAATAATAATACATAATTTCTATGCGTATGTATGTTTGTATGTAAATTGGTGTGAACAGACTAAAGGCTAAATGACTGAACAGATTTTGACAAGTGAGGTGTCATTCGATTCGTCTTCTTCCAAACAGTGTCATATACTAATCGAGATTTTTTTTGTTACTTTTAATACTTATCCTTAGGTATCCAATTCCTCCAACACTTGGAAAGATGTCGCGGCCTTATTTACTTATTAGACGGGGCATCGGATGCTCTCCAGCAACTCCTGACCTTGGAGCATGAGGTTCAGCAGTACAGCGCGGAGCTGGCCACAAGGCCCAGCCTCCTGGTCCTCAATAAGACCGACCTGGAGACCGGAGAGAGAGCATACGAAGATTTGAAGACTAAAAGACCGGAGACCGTGTTGGGTATATCAGCGAAGACCGGACATAATGTTAGCGAGTTGTTGAAAGCGATCAGAAATTTGTATGATAATAATTTGTAGGTTATGTTTTAATTATTATAATATTTGAAATATAATTGTGTTTTATTATATTCGATAAGAAAAAGCAAAAAAAATTTTTTTTAAATGACGTATTATTTTAGTAAAAAATATTTTTTTCTAATATCTTTAGCAAATAAGTTAAAAAAACATTAATTTGTAAACACCTATACAGATTATAAAGAAGTTTGAAGGATTATTCAAATAAAAGACACGAGTACAAAAAAAAAGTAATTTTATTTACATCAAACACAATCAGATAATTGACATTTCATAATAACTATCAGTCTAATATTTTAATACTTATTTTCTCTGGAAATATATAAAAAAAACTTGTCATATTTCTAACTATGATGACAACACACAATGTATACGATAAACTTATCTGACCAGATGAAGCATTCCTATCGTGGCATAACATGTTCGCAGGAATTGTCCTCGCTCAGTGAAATATCACGACCACACAGAAGACACGTCTCAAGTTAAGTAATTCCAACTACAGTCTGATGAGTGTGCGTCCCGGAGGACTAATTTAATCCTCTCTCCCTTCCCACCCTTTTTCTTATAAGGATGGGAAGATGAAGTGGACTTTCCGGATGAGAGGATGTATAGAAAGGAAAAGTATTTTCGTTAAGCAACACACATGCAATTGCGTATGTCTATGGGCAACGGTCACTTCGTTTGCCACATAAATGTATAGGCGATTACTTTAAAATAAGCTTTTGCGTCCATTAAACGCGTCTATTGATGTTACTTCACTGTTAATCTGTCTATATTATTAGTTCAAATCCAAATAACAGCTACAAACTAATACCATCAGCGACAAAATGGCGATAATCAAATTGGCACAAAATACCACATCTTACAGTCACTCTATTTCTAAACGTAAGTGCCAAAAAGTGACACTTTTGATATTGTCAGGAAGGCGCCAATGAGCTGTCATAGTTATGACATATATCGAGCGGGTCAGATAAGTTCGTAAGTTTATAGATTTTATAATTTAATTTGCAACAGATAAGTGCTTTTAATTTAAAATAATTTCAATTGAAAATCATTGTGGTGTCATGTTCACGTTGGCATTGCCTGTTGTGGTAAAATGAGCGGTGTCATGTCATTCTTTTTGCCTTTCTTAGTTTTCTTCGGTTGTACTTTCATCTGTAAATAAATTTATAACAACTAGTGATCTTAAGTATGGAAATAACAGAATAATCACAAGTTCAGTGAGTTTAGACAAAGTTTCGCTTCGCAACGATTCCATAGCGAACGTAAATGATAAGTAATCGCAGCAATCAGGCTTTAACAGTGGTAGAGCCCGCTTTAACATGTTAGCACGAATTGTCCCGGATCGCTCAGTGAAATACCACGACCACACAGAAGACAGGCGTCAAGTGGAAGCTATTCCGCGTACAGTCTGATGAGTGTGCGTTCCGGAGGCCTAATTTAGTCCTCTTTCCTTTCTCACCCTTTTTTTCATAAGGAAAGGATGGGAAGTGGAACTGGACTTTCCGGATGAGAGGATGCATGGAAAGGGAAAATATTATCTTTCTGTGCATCCTCTCCTCCGTCGATTAAAGGTAGGCAACGCATATGCAATTGCATATGTCTATGGGCAACAGTCACTTCGCTATTTCAGCGATTTCAGGTGGCCGCTCGCTCGTTTGCCACCTTATATAAAAAAAAAATGTCTCTGGTCTTCAAGTTAGACGCAAACAAGTTATGTTGCCTATAAAAAACAGTGGTGCGTCGACCCTAAGTATTTTTAAGACATAAGAATACTTTGGCGCCCCGCAAAATGAATAGTGAGTGAGACATGTCGACATTTTAGTAAGGCTAGTATTGTGTAAATATACTGCTATATTTTACGGATTTTCTTCCTAAAAGTATATGAAACAAAGTCAGGGAGATGATACATGTGTGTTGTGTATGACTGACCTTGTAGTGCACTTCACGCACATGCCTGTACAGCGAGGAGTACCAGCCGAACGCTGCTCCACATCTCTCGCAGCGGTACGGAGTCTCACTCGTGTGCATCGCCACTATGTGATACTTCAACTTCGCCGCGTTCTGACACATATGTAAAAACATTATAAGAGTTTGTTAAAACGCGCTAATCTCAGGAAGTACTGGTCCGATTTGATAAATTGTTTTTTTGTTTGATAGTTTTATAGAGGAAGGCTTTAGGCTATATAACATTATAATAATACCAATAAGAGCGAAGCGTCAATGAGTACTAAATATGTTTTTTTTATAATACGGCGCAGACGGAGTCGCTGGCGACAGCTAGTACATACTGACTAAGGCACAGCGACACAACTACACTTCATATTAAGTGATATTTCAAGTTAATTAAGTAATTAACTTATTAACTAGATAATAACATAGTTAACTACATAATTATATCATTTACTAAGATAAATTTGTTATGAGTTTTAAAATAATTAGGTCATTACCAAATTTACTTGAGTTAACTATTTAATTATTAAGTTAAATAAATAAATATAAGAGTCAACTAGTAACTCTATATACACCTCATTATTAATTGCCTAGTTAACTCTATAACTTATTTAACTAGATATTTAAAGAGTTAACTAGTTAATAATTTAGTTAATAAAATAATTATAGAGTTAAATAAACAATTATCAAGTTAATAAGGTAATTGTAATGAACCGAGTTAATGAATGAAGGGACATATGAAGAATTGTGTATAACGCGCATTGAAGGTATCGAACCTCCTTGGTAGCGCGGGCGAGTTTGTAAGCGGCCAAGGAGGTCGTACTGGCCGGTGATGCGACGCCGCGATGAATACAGAAAAAGAAAGTGTGAAAAAAAAAATGGAATATAATTAAAATTTTGTTTTATAGTTTGAAGTTGTTTATATTATAGTTTACGACATTATATATATGTTTGATTTGGTGCAATCGTCTTGCAATGTTGATGAATGTAGAAGATTAAATAACATTGTGAATAGAAAGTGTTATTCATTTACAACAATTGCAATACAGTACAACTCCTCTGCGGCGGAAACGTTCAGAGGTCGTTGTACAAATTGAGTGAATGAGTGATCAGGAGACTGAGTGAATGAGTGTACGATATAATCACCTGGTAAGACTTGCCGCACACGTGACAGAGATTGTGTCGCGCGTCTTTGTCTCGGTGCACGTTCTGAAGGTGGACGTACAGTGACGTGTGGCATTTGTACGCCTGATTAGGAAATACAAACATTATATATATCTTACTAATATTATAAATGCGAATGTTTGGATGTATGTTTGTTAGAAGGTATCTCCTAGAGCTGCTGTATAGAACTCACTGAAAGTCATAGATGTAGAACATAGTGGAAGAACACATAGGCTACTGTTTAAATCCACTAGAACGATGCAGGCGACAGCTCATCATCATCAGCTCACTATACGTCCCCACTGAGGAGCTCGGAGCCTACCCTATGCTGGCCAAGTGCGGGTTGACTTCACACATTTGACTTTCTCTAATATGTGCATCATCACGATGTTTTCCTTCACAGTAAGAACTTCGGATAAATGTGTAAATGTACATGGCGGGATTCGAACCCAGGACCTGCAGACTGCAAGTCAAGGGCTTGACTCCTAAGCCTCCGAAACTCTTTTTAGCAGGCGACAGCTAGTGTTGCATAATTTTGTAGATTATAAAAGTGTGTCATAGTGTGTCACCTTGTTGCAGAGATGACACCGGAACTTGATGTTGTGTAAATGTTCCCAATCGATGTGGTCTCTTAGCCGAGTCTTGCTTACAAATTTCTTGCCGCACTCATCACATGTGAAACTGTTATAAAGTTCACAATACATTAACTGATGTACAGTCAGGGTATCTCGCGGTATTCCAATTGAAAAGCGACTTTGTAAACATTGTGATGAAGCAGAAACAATAATTTTTAAAGCATCTTTAAAATAATTATAAAATTAATTGCCTTTTATTTATTAATAAACCGTGCTCTGAATTTGAAAAATTTTCATTTATATTTAAAATATAGGTATTTAAATCTAGTATTGTTATACTTATTTAGATAAAAATATCATAAAATTTGGCAACGCTCTCCGTCTTTATCACACAATGCCACTTCGTTATCACATTACTTCCCTTTCAAATTGTAACGCAATTTATGACCAAACTATGTAAATGAAACACTACAGATTTCTCCAACTGTACATCAACATCCATCTAGATATATGATGTCCCAAAATGTTACGTACATAGGAAGGGGGATGATAGGGGTGGTCATAAGGGTCACCAGAAAAATTAAATAAAAATTCCCCTCTGGGTATTTAAATAAAAAAATGGCATTTTTTAAAAACAACCTTCTGGGGCAATTTTAATTTTCTTTAAAATCTTTGTTAGTTGTATTGTTTTTTTTTATTTCATATTGATAAAGGGTTATTGACGATAACATAATAGCTTTTTTTTAAATGTAGCAATATTTGTAGGTCATCGGTTACAAAATTGCCCCAGGTGTAAATTTTTTTAAAAATGCCCTTTTTTTAATACCCAGAGGGGAATTTTTATTTAATTTTTCTGGTGACCCTTGTGACCACCCCTATCATCCCCCTTCCTATGTGCGTAACCTTTTGGGACACCCTGTATAATTACATATGGTACGTCATCTCTGACTCACCTGAATTCAGTCTCAGGGACATGTCTGCGCGAGACTCTGAGATGTTGTCTGTATGTCGCCACTGAGGCGAACAGTTTGCCGCACGGGGAACAATGCAGTTCTCCGGAGTCGCGCGCCTGACACATATTCAACACAACATCTAAAAATTTATATATCTACATGCAATATAGAACATTTTTTATTTTTAAATTTTTGCCTATCTATCTATTTTTATTTATAGATATTAGTTAGAATAGAATCCTTTGTCGCGAATGTCGCGCTTTCATTACCAAGTCAAGTGTCAGATGTAGTGAGGGGACATAAACGTTGACATTTTAGTAAAGCCAGTATTGCGATACACCGGCACTGTGTCGGATTTTATTAAAATATTCAAATATCATCATCAGCTCACTATGCGTCCCCACTGAGGGTCTCGGAGCCTACAATAAGTTAAGGTGATTAGGCCATAGTCAACCACGCTGGCCAAGTGCGGGTTGGTTGACTTCACACATATCTTTGAATTACTTCTCAGATATGTGCAGCATCACGATGTTTTCCTTCACCGTAAGAACGTCGGATAAATGTACATATGTAAATTGGAAATGGAAAAACACATTGGTACATGGCGGGATTCGAACCCAGGACCTGCAGATTGCAAGTCAAGTGCTTGACCACTGAGCCACCGATGCTCCAAAATATTCAAATAATTAAAAAAAAATTATAAACGACTTCTTACAATTTCCTATTTATCGATATCCTAGAGTTAATTAGAAAGACGAACAAGCGAGAAAGTTTGATTAGGTACTGGTAAGTTCCCGGAGGCCTAATTTAGTCTTCCCCTTCTCACCCTTTTTCTTATAAGGAAAGGATGGAAAGTGGAAGTGGACTTTCCGGATGAGAGGATGCATGGAAAAGGAAAATATTTTCATTCTGTGCATCTCCTCCGTGGATTAAAGGTAGGTAACGCATATGCAATTGCATATGTCTATGGGCAACGGTCACTTCGCTATTTCAATGATTTCAGGTGACCACTCATTTGCCACCTTATGATATAAAAACACTAACCTTATGACTTCTCATATGTCTGCCGAGGTTTGACTTCCACTGATACACTTTGCCGCAGCGAGGACACGGGTATCTGTTCTCACCTTTGTGCAGCACGCTGGGGATACACATGTAGGGTAGGCAGAGAATATACTGGGATCACTTAAACTTGTGCTATAGCTTTTATTTCTATATTTTTATAAGAAAGCATTAAAAATTATTTAAGATTTTTATTATTGGTTTCCGAGAGCAAAACCTGTATTCTTAGAAACCCCATGGTAAGTATTAAAAATAAAAAGTTTAATATAATAAAAATTGTGCCTTCAATTTTACTTATATAAATGCGAATGTTTAGATGTTTGTTAGATATTATCTCCTGAACGGCTCAATTGATTTTGATGAAATTTCTCATACATATAGAACATAGTCTGGAAGAACACATAGACAACTAAAATTTTAAAATTCCTCACAGATAAAGTCGGGAGCGACAGCTAGTTTTTCATAGGTGCATTAGACTATGTTCTATATGTATGACAAATTTCATCAAGATCCATACAGCCGTTCTGAAGATACCTTCATAAATCTAAACATTCTCATTTATAATATTAGTAAGATTTTAGTATAACAATATTTACTTGAGATGATATCTGTATGTCTTCTTTGAGCTAAACATTTTCCCACACTCGACGCACTGCGGCCGCTCCGGCACCCGCTCCCGGCAACGTGGACCTCTGCGCGGACCACCCACATCACATACATCGCCCACTCCCACATCACCCACTGCACCCACTTCGCCCACTACACCCACATCACCCACCTCACCCACTGAACCCTACAACCAGAATAACTTCATTTGAATATCAAAAACAGATACCTTTCGAATAAAAAAAATATGAAAATAGCAAAACTAAGGGTGTAGCTAAACGAACAAAAATAAAAAAGGGTCCTGACAGACAGACGGACAACAAAGTGATCCTCCTTTATGAAATCGCTTAAAAAATGTAATAAAAAAAATCATTTGTACATCAACTGTACATATTTTGTGTCAATTATGACCCCTATGACACTCTTTAGATGAATACGAATCATATGACACCTCAATTATCAAATAATTAATTCAAATCACAATATAAAGAGTTAATTAACTTAATATCATAATAAAACTAACAAAAGTTCACATTTCATTAAAAAAAACTCACCGTAATTTCTTTTCTATCTTGTATATTAACATCTATCTGTATGTCTGTATCACAGTTTGCAATCTTCTTATCTTCTAGAACACTATCATCCATCTTCTGCATATCTTCTGTCACATCGGGCCAATTCTCTGAATCACTTATCACATCGGCTTTCATTTTATTCTTTTTCTTCTTTATTTTCTTTTTTAATCTAGTTTTATTCTTCTGTAAAGGAAATACTTATTTATCTATACATATGTAAGAAATAATCATATACTAGCGTTCGCCCGCGACTCTGTCCATGTGAAATTAAAAAAAAACTCAAAATGTAGACTATGTTCTATATGTATGACAAATTTTATTCCAATCTGTTGAGTCGTTCCAGAGATATCTTCTAACATACATACAAACATTCACATTTATAATATTAGTAAGAAGATTTAATTAAGAATTTACTTGAATTCAAATTAAATACTATTTTCAATGTGTTTCCATTTGTGAGGATTCAATTTAATGCAGATCGGTCCAATGGTAAACATCACATTTTGGCAAATAGTTTCCAATTGTAATTTTTTATTACTTTTTCAACAGTTAAAAATCATTTATTTTGAAGTACAATCAAACTTGGATAAGAAGGAAACCTATATAAGCAAGATAAATCTTACTAATATTATAAATGCGAATGTTTATATGTATGTTAGAAGATATCTCCGGAACGACTCAACAGATTGGAATAAAATTTGTCATACATATAGAACATAGTCTGGAAGAACATATAAATGGATGTTTTTACCTTTTTACTAGATTCCTTCTTAGTATGAGGTAAATTGAGATCTCTGACAAATGTCTCTGGTTCGCAATGCATCTCATCTATGGCCTCTCTCTTTAGCTTTTCTATGGGTATATCATCATCGGATTCCTCTTTCACTATTGTCTCTGGATAATTTATATTAACAACTTGCTGTATTTTTAATTTAGGCTCCTTTGATAATAGTAATTTCGTTGAACCATTCTGCGAAACAAAGTTAATAAAATTAAAAAAATATTTGTCTGTCCGTCTGTCTATAAGTCAACTTATGTTTGAAGTAATCTTCAGTACAGTTGGATCTATTTTGTAGGAACTTTTAATGGAAGGTAGCAATTATATGCATAAGATAGGCTAATTTCTATTCTTTTTAATCCTATGCGAGCAAAGTTGCGGGCAACAACTAGTCTTACTAATATTATAAATGTGAAAGATTAGATAAATAGATGGATATTTGTTAGAAGGTATCTCCGGAACTAACTGATCTTAATGAAATTTGGCACAGATGTAGAACATAGCCTGGAAGAACAAATAGGCTATTTTATATGTTATTTCTTAACATGCAACAACCAAGTTGCAGGCAACAGCTTAGAAATTCATGCATTATATGACCTACCTCAAGCTTGGTTAACTTTAAAAGTTGGCAACACATCTGCACTGTTATGTATTCCAGATGTCTATCTGACTTACCTGTACTTGTACATGTAACAGCTGTGAGTATGAACGTTGCACTTGTGATTTGAACATCTGGAAACGACGTAGCGCGGCTCTACACTCCCAACACACGCGCACACATAATGATGTATCGTACACCTGGAAATTACATTCATCAGCTCACTAATCAAGAAAATAAGGGAAGTTCACAAGCAAAATATATTTGAACCATTTTTTTGTGTGGAAAATATAGTAATTTATTTAAACAGTGGTAGAGCCCGCTTTAACATCTTCGCACGAATTGTCCCGGCTCGCTCAGTGAAATACCAGGACCACACAGAAGACAGGCGTCAAGTGGAAGCATTTCCGCGTTTCGTCTGATGAGTGTGCGTCCCGGAGGCCTAATTTAGTCCTCTTGCCCTTCCCACCCTTTTTCTTATAAGGAAAGGATGGGAAGTGGAAGTAGACTTTCCGGATGAAAGGATGCATGGAAAGGGAAAATATTTTCTTTTTGTGCATCCTCTCCTCCATCAATTTAAGGTAGGCAATGCATATGCAATTGTGTATGTCTATGGGCAATGGTCACTTCGCTATTGCAGCGATTTCACGTGCCTGCTCGCTCGTTTGCCACCTTATGGTATAAAAAAAAACCTGCAATTCCTTAGCCAAACCTCAATACTACACGTCAACACTAAGGCGCTAACCTACCCTGAATTAGGGATAGTCAACCACGCTGGTGCAATGTAAGTTGACTTTAGACATATCTTCAATTCAGTAAGAGAGAATATATAAGCTAGACAAATATTGCAGTCCCTTGCAGTCTTGCTTATATAGGTTTGACTATACTTCCAACTTTCTAACATTCCAACAGTCCAACCTTTCAAAACACTCATACAAAATACAAAGTTAACATAGATTATGCTGGATATCACAATGAGCTCACCTGAATTTCATTTAATATTTGATAGAACATATTATAAAAGCCCGTCTCTCCGATGAAGAATAGATTCCTTCCAACACATAAGCATGTTGAACATAGATCTTCCATATTTGTTATCTTCTAGATGCAACTAACTTACTTTAATGATATTTTTTTATTACATATGTAGCTTCTACTGATTAGGAACTTCTGGAATTATAAAAAAGTTTTTAATACATTTAAAATTTGATTGTTAAATTGTAGTTGAAAGGATAATTGAATGTATTAGTTTGTTTTGTGAAAATACAATTTATTTATGTATGTATCATGTGTTACGCATATAAAATAAATCATGTAGATTTCCCTTTTTTCTAAATGGAATTTATATCTTTATATTTATTTGAGATTAAATTAAGGTAGTTTTTAAAGAAAGAAACGAATGTAGTTATTTGTGTTTTTCGTGTCCACTTTCACTTACTTTGATAACATAATAACATAGCTTTAGTACTGAATAATTAGAACAATAGCCTGGAATTATCTAAAAAGTTAGCTATTCACATGTTTTATTTAGAATATTGTTTGTTTTCTAATCTTTATAATTTTATACGAAACTAAAACGAAGCGTCCTTTTCAATTCCTTGACACTTTAGTTTAGGGATGTACGTAGAACAAACGTTGTTCGTTGATTCAACGATCTAGTTGAATGAACCGTTGATCACTCATCAACGTTGCAACCGTTGACTGTTTTTCATTTCACAAATTGAATTGAACGTAAATTTACATATAAATCACTAGTCGTCGTTTTTCGTCACGCAGTATTTAGGTTTCTATTTATTGAATGTATTATCAATTATTTGACAAAATCACATTGCTTTTGGACTAGTTAAAAAAAGCCATTTAACCATTTCGTTGTCGCCTCAACCGTCAACGTCCATCCCTATAGTTTGACAATTCATAGTCTGTGTTGTAAGTTAAAAAAATGTTTTGAAGGCACAGTATTATTGCCAGTTAAAAATACACCAAAAACAAAAAGTTTTTTTGGCTATCCGTTTTTTATCGTCGCCCTTTTATAATATTACTTTGATTTTCTTCTTTCGTATCTAAAGTTATGGTGTACGTATTATTCGCTCCTTTTAATAAATAAGAAAAATAAAATATTAAACATAATATTCGAATAAAATTTATTAAAATTATTTAATTATTCTTAAGAAGTAATTTTCGCTTCAGTACTTTCCGTCTTGTTCTTATCCTCCTTGCTCTTCTTCTGTTTTTTCTTTTTCTTTTTATTGGGATCTTTCTGTCGCGTCATGTCGTTGTATTTGAGCAACTTTTTATACATTTTAAGTAATTGTTTCGCATCTTTTTTCATTTCCTTAGTTATTTTGCTATCGTTTGGCAAATCTTCATTTTCTTTGACCGGATCTACGTATTTCGTAGAAGCTTCTAGAGTGTTATATTGTTCTATAGAACCTTCTTCTAAATTCTTCTCTGTTACAATCTCTTCCGGAATTTCTTCGACTATCTTCTCAACCTCCTTTTTAGACTCTTCCAGCTTTCTTTTAAGTTCTTTATTCTTCTTTCGCATTGCATTTAGAATGTTTGCTGTTGTTAGAACGTTTTTAACTTTTTTGCTGTCCAAGTATCGATCTTTCCATGATATTTCTTCTGGTTCTGCAACTTCTTTGTCAGCTTGTATCCTTTCGTGTTCTTTTATTTCTTCGTCGGTTACAATATTTTCTCTATCAATTTCGTCTATTTTAGCTGAAAGTGCTTCTATTTCTTCAGCTGTTGGTTCTTTGGATAATACTGAAGTACCATCTTCACCATTGCAAGAAGATTCATCAGAAAGTTCTAGAATTTCATATACATTATCGTCTTTGCAATTTTCTTGTATTATTTCTGGAATTGTATCAATTTTATTAACTGTATTTGTTTCAGATTTTGCATAGAAATTTTGATCGGCGCCATTACCAAAATCCTGATCTTTAGTTTTATCCTTTTTAGATTTCTTACCTTTCTTTTTGTTCTTTTTCTTTTTATGGGTTTTCTTATTGTTTGACTCTTCGTCTGATATACAAACAACTTCGGGTCTTACGTCGGATGCTTCGACTTCAGAACTTTCGCGGTCTGATAGTTCTCCTTCAGATTTTTCAGGATTTATTTTTGCCTTTTGTATATTTTCGTCAATTTTTTTTGTAGTATTTTCAATTATTTCCAGTTTATCATCATCGTTTTTATTTTTGTCATCAAAAGACATTTCTTCATTTACTGGGATACTATTCGTGCTTTCAACGCACATAGAATGTGTATCACTCTGTGTGTTAAGTTTAGTCCCAATTTCTATATTTCTTTCTTTATTTGCTTCAACGACTTCTTTATTTTGACAATCTTGGTTATCAATTGTTGCATTTTTATTATTATCAATTATTTCATCGTCTTTCAATGGTTCAATATTTGAAGTTTCTTCTGTGGTTTGTGTTTCTTTAGGTATTTCTTCTTCGTTACTAGAGCTTTCAGTATCTTCTGAACTAGAACTAGATACACTGTCATAGTTCTTCCTGTCTAGATTTTCTAATAAATCCATTTTTTCCGTATCTGATAATTGTAAGGTAATTTCATCGTGATCGCTACCTTCTTTGTTTTTATTCTTTCCTTTCTTTTTTGTCTTTTTCTTTTGTCTATCTTTGGTTACCTTTTGTGTTTTTTCTAGATCTTTGTTAGTTTTATCTATTATGTTTGTTTCTTGTATTTCTTTATCATTTGTCTGTTTGTTTATTTGTGTTGTTACGATTTTATTAGCTGGTGTACGATTCAGTTTAATTTTTCTCGTATTTTTTGTTTGCGGCACTGTTATTATTAGGTCGTTTATCTTTTTTGTTATCGTATGCGTGTCTTTGTTTGATTCGTTTGTGATTTTAGTTGAGTTTTTAGATTGTTGTGCTAATACTGGAAATATTAAATAATTATTTTGTTAATTGATTATTATGGAAATTAAGTTAATTGCAATTTAGACTCATATCTAGCTAATATTATAGATGCGAATGTTTATGGATGGATGGATGTTTGTTAGAAGGTATCACCAGTACGGCTGTATGGATCTCGATGAAATTTGTTATAGATGTAGAACATAGTCTAGAAGGTAACGTAGGTTACTAATTAAGTTTCTCTCAAATACGAGATAATAAAATATTTTCAGAGTCGTAAGACAGCTAGTCAATTATAATTTTTAACTTTTTTTACTGATATTTTTATCAGATTTTTGTCTCTCTACGCAATGTTTATTATATTTACTGTTTATAGCAAATTATATATACAAAAGACAAAGAGAAATATTTTTAAAATATATCAACCTTTCTGTAACTCTTCAATTTTGGGCTTCTCATCTTCACTGCTGATCTCCACAACCTCGGTTGGCTCCTCCTTGATCTCCACTTCATCATCAGACACATGCTGTACCGTCTCTGGTGCTTTGTTCTCTGACACATCTGTCGGTCATGAATTAATAAACATTTGAATATAACACATACTCTAGTTTTGTTGGTCCATTAATTTCCCATACTTATGGTCAACTGAATTCGCTAAAATGGCGAAGCGACGTGCTATAGAAATTCGCAATTGTAGCTGCGTTGCCTACCATGAATCGACAAAGGAAAGGCACAGGCAGAAAATATTTCCCTTCTTCCAATGTCACCTTCTTCATCAAATATCTTTCGACTTTCCATCAATTCCTTATAAGAAAAGGGTGGCTAGAGACAGAGGATTATAATGTCCTCCGGGCACACACACATCAGAGTGTACGAAAAATTAGGTCTACTTGAGGCCTATCTTCTGTGTGGTCATGGTATTGCAGCTGACGAGGCACATTCATGCAAAAGATGTTGCTGGTGTCTACACTTGTTATTTGGAAATATACATCCCCACTGAGTGCAGAGTCAACCCTAAGTGAGAGTATGTGATAGTGAATGCTGGTCCAGTGCAAGACTTCACACATTTGACTTTCTCAGATATGTGCTGCATCACGATGTTTTCCTTCATCGTAACAACATACGATAAATGCACATATGTAAATGTAACACATTACTACATGCTGGGATTCAGCGTATAGTAAGTTGATGATGAGACATACCAACTGTCTGCTCCTGCTGTAATTGTGCTCGTATCGCTCTCGCTCGAGCTTGCAACTCCAACAATTCTAATACAGTAAGACCAGCGCGAGATGCTTTACTCTTCTCCGCATTATCTGATCCCTCTGATGATGATTTACGTTTGTTTTTCGTCTTTGATTTGTGACGGCACTGTTTATGCTATAAGTAGATAAGATTAAGGGTTAATAGACCTTTTTTTAGTACAATCTTTTTGAAGTTAGCTATTATTCCCAAGTCTAGCTGCAGCTCAATGGTTTAAGTCAATGTATGTACTTTTGAGCCAGTTTAGAACTGATTTACACATAGCTACTGACGAATCTTACTAATATTATAAATGCGAATGTTTAGATGGATGTTTATTAGAACGTAACTCCGGAGATGCTGGACAGATATTAATGGAATTTGGCACAGATATAGAACATACAGCCTAGAAGAACACATAAGTTACTTGTTGTTTTTTTGTAAATTTACAAATAATAAAACTTCATAAATAAATGACGGTAAATTACCTTTTTCTTTTTTCCACTCCCCTGACTCAATATCTCTTCATCAGAAGATATGCTGTCAAGTGATATCGTCTCAAATCTCTCAAGAGATGATGCGCTGGATGTTTCCGTGTCACTTGGAGGATCTGCTCCGTCTAATATAGCACAGAGACGCTTTGAACTGATGCCTAAAAGCTATAACAACAAACTAGTAGTAGACAGGAGTGTACAAGTAAATTTTGTTCATACTAAAATTACCACTCCAACAGAGGAGAGGTACAGAAAAAGATATTTTCCCCCTTCCTGTACATCCTTCTGTCAAATCCACTTTCTAGTCACTCTAAAAGGGTGGGGAGAAGAAGACTACAACTGGCCTCTGGCACACAGATGTAACATAAAATTACTTCTTTACGTTTGTCTTCTGTGTGGTCGTGGTATTGCAGCAGACATGGTGCTGCGGACTCTAAAACAGTTGAAAATATAACAAGACGTAAATGTTAATATCCTTACCTCCTCAGTGCATAACTCTTGTAGATCATTTAAAGATATATGCTGAACGCAATACGGTGCCATGGCTTTTAATTCTTTAGCTTTAAGCACCGAAAATACTTGGTGCATTAATTCAACTCTGTCGTGAATATAATACGTTAAATCACGATCTTGTGTATCGGGAGTAGGCGCGGATGTCTCAGGACGCTCCTCTTTTATTCTGTGTATACTTGAACGCCTCATTTTATTGAATTTACCTTAATTCTTATACACCAAAGTTACTAATGTAACATTTCGTACGACTATTAAGACAATGATTTAAAAATTCATAACGTTTTACACAAGGTCATTCTCCTATGGGTGTTCTTATTTGGTAGTATTATACGTCATTGTCAGCTGTCATATTGTGGTTTTGTTTTGATGTGTTCAGAAACCTTAACAATTCCCCGTGACATTAAAGATCTATTTTTACATTTCTTTTATAGCATGTAGCAATTTTATGGCAATATTAACAAACTAACTCAAAATTTATATTAGTTTTCTTTGATATAAAGAAAACGAAGAAAGTTTTCTTTCATATTTGATTTATTCTAATGACGCGGGTTTGTGGTTTATGAACACACATTCAATTAAAAAATTAGTACTTTTAGTCCGAAGCTAATATATAATTTACTATTTAGAAAAAAAATATTACTTAGGTGATTCAAGAACTTTAATGTTTACACAACTTATGAAACAGGTCTGGAATGGCCGTGGTAAAATTATATCAAAGTGATAATTTCTTAGTTGTAAACAAGCCATATGACATGTACATAAATTCCGATGATGAAAATGAAAAGGTATGGCAATTATTTATCAGTTATATATATTTCAATTACTTTTACTTTATGCAAATATTTATAATATTAGTAAGATTAATTTAAGATGTAAGGTTATGTTTACTATCAATAAGATTTGACACTGACATTGAATTTTAGTGCTGCTATCACTAAATAATCATATTTACCCAAATAATTTCAAGCAAACCATTAAAAAATCGAAATAATTTATTGACTTGGATATTGTTCTGAAAAACTGGACTTTTCTAATTTTAGAATAATTTCTTTTAGAATACAGTCGCTTGTCACATAGCGAAACAAGACTCTCATCGCTCAAAATCAGCACATCCACTGCATTTTGTCCAGAGATTAGACTACTCCACTAGTGGCGTTCTCTGCATGGCTTTGAATAAAACTGCAGCTGCCAGTGCTGGTAGACTTTTCGAGAAGAGACTAACAAACAAATACTACCTGGCAATCGTTAGAGGACATTTAAATTTCGAAATCTGTGATATAAAGTATCCAGTTGGTAAGCTTATTTAATTTTGTTGTTTTAAACAAATTAGCGCGTAATTAAAATGAAGAACAGACTATGTTCTATATCTACTCAAGATTTCATCGAGATCCGTTAGCCGTTCTGGAGATTCCTGGAGAACCTTCAAACAAACGTTCATCTAAACATTCGCATTTATAATTTTAGTAAGATGTATGGTACAAAATCTTAATCTTTAATGTAATGCTCTCGTCATAAGTTATCACGTAAATAAGGTTTGTAGTAAAATTATATTTTATCTTGCTCCCTTGTACCTGACTGTACTGTAACATACAGGTTCTGATCAGACATCACCAGATACCAGTCACAAGATGCTTGCATTAACTGAAGCGACAAGATCTGTGTGTGGTTCTCCAAGATCGGCTGAGACTCGCTTACTTGTACTTGAGTCAGGATATTACGAAGACAATCCTATTACCGTAGTACTCTTGAAGCCTTTAACTGGTTTGTTTTGATTTTATTAATCGGCTTTTCATTTTGTGCAAGACATACAGTGCTATAATATTATAGAAAGATAAGAAGGGAAAATGTTTATTGCTACTGAAAAATAACTAATGTACAATTTTTTCTACATTAACTCTTATAGTAGCGTGATAAATGCTTTTATTCTTGTGTTTGTTCTAACTTATATTTTGCAGGTCGTCGTCACCAGTTAAGGGTGCACTGCTCAGCCATAGGTCATACCATCTTAGGTGACTATACGTACAGTGATCGACAAGATACATCCCCACATAGAATGTTCTTACATGCAACTAGGTAATAAAAAAAATATATTTAAATTTAAAAAAAAATTTAAAATTTTAAAATTTTAAATTTACGATACTAAGGTATATTATAAATGCGAATGTTTGGATATTTGTTTGAAGGTATCTTAAGAACACCTGCACGGAATCCGCTGTGATTTGGCACAGGTGTAGATAGTCTGGAAGAACACACAGGCTACTAATTATTATTATGTATAATTTCACGTGGACGTAGTCACAGTTGACAGCTAGTCTTAAAGATAAATCTTAATTGTAAAAATATGGAGTATCTGTTGAAGTGTTAAAATGTCATTATTAATGTATTTATCTTTTCCAGGCTTGTTTTACCTCTGCCGAAAGAACCATTAGATGTTCAAACGGCAGAACCATTTTTTTCTGATAGTAGATTCACTTCAAAGTGGACACCGCTTGCTAAAAAGTACAGCTATTGCGATAAAGAAGATTTTATTAAAGTATGCGATGTCATAGATCAAATTAATGAAATAAGGGAAAATTATAAATTATTTATTTAAGAATTTGGTTTTTTTATTTAGCTAGTTTTAATTAATAAGTATCTTTTGATAGCGACTTATTTTTGTCCTATATGTACATTTTAAACGAGTGAATTTATGTTAAGGTATTTTTCTGAGTTTAGAGCAAAGGGACATGAACTGGTAACATTAACTGAAATTGTCTATGGATATTCTAATTTATATCTGTTTTGCTCTATATTCAGCAAATAGTCTATTGTCGATGTACTGTCAGAAATTGTTATATTTGTTTTTGTTGATAAAATTATTTACAAGTTCTGTAATATATTTAATTAATAAGCCAATGTTTGTGTTTATTTGATATCTTAATGAAATAATAATGGATTCTGATACGGATTCGTTGGAGAGAACAATACAAAATGATACGTCGTCTCATGCAATGGGCAATATAAAAAGTGAACCCGAAGAAGATCCGTTGGAAGGCAGTAGTTATAATTTAGACATGTCGATGAAGGCGGAAACTACAAATGAGGAAGATGACGATGAAGAATATAATACAATGTTAGTACATACAATTTTTACGAATAAACCAGCGTTTTAAGATTATCTTACCTGTTAATGTGGTCGAAAAATATATTTGTTAGTTTACCTTACTAAATAGAAAAAAAGGTAATGTTTGGATGTTTGATTGATGTTTATTACTATATCTCCAGAAAGGTGCAATGGATGTTGATAGAATTTGTCATAGATGTAGAACATAGTCTGGAAGAACACAGAATTAAGTTTAAGAGAGAATTAAGTTTTTTAGTACCTCATATCTGGAGTCTGGCGCCATCTAGTTAAGTAATTGATGATACAATCAGAATAACTTTTGTCAATCTAATATATCTTTAGCTCACATCCTCCTTCACGGAGGGGCTTAAGTCCAGACTAAGCCAACTTTTAACATATTCCAGGGCACTACTAGAACTAGCTCAATGCGTACAAACAAATCATGATCCAATAGAGTTTGACTCAACGGAGGCTGCCGTCAACCCGAAGACAGGTTTGATGATGTGTTTACACTGCTACGAGGATGTTGACAGCAATTTGTTAGCGGACCACATGATCAATGCACACAGTTATAGAAGATTGCAACTTAAATGTCGCATTTGTGATACAACGTTCCAGGTATTTGATAGTGTCTAGTCTTGTTTGTTTAATCTATGACTTGCAAGTGTTGGGTTGCCATGTGTAGAAATCTGAACCGCTTCAAAAGTTTACTACTATAACTATGTAAGTTGAGCCACAAGCTGTCTGCTGATTAACAGTTTGTAGCTCATAACGTAAATTATAACTTGATGAAGGTACAAATGCCATGAGCTTATTTATCCTTAATTTTAGGTGATTTACCTATGTATTGTGTTGGGGATAGTGGAGGGATGTACAGATATAGGAACTTTCCCTGGGATACCAGGAATAATACTGTTTTATAATTTGTAGAAGAATTTTTATTCTAACATATTGTCAATTGCTTACAATTTCACCAATTGCAGGAAAGAAAAGTATTAATAATCCACCGTAAAGAATGTCAGCCGCCAGCTAAGAAAGCTAAAAGACGCACTTTCCAGCAAATAATGAGAGAAGTGGAAAGTAGTCTGGATACCAATATTTACGATATGGTTACATGTCCCATATGTGTACTAGAAATGGCTAAATATACGTTAAAAGATCATTTAATTAATGCCCATAGTAATCCGGATATGGTACTGACTTGTGCAAAGTGTAATAAAAATTTCAAATCGCGATTAACATTACGTGAACATGTTCGATTAGTGCACGAGTCTATTGAAGACTCGGTTGAATGTGAATTATGCGGACAGAAGTTTAGATCTTATAAATATTTATCAAATCATAAAAGAAACGTTCATCCTAAAGGTTAGTGGCATATTATTTCTTATTAATATTAAAGACTTACTGTCATCCGAGACTTCATCCGCGAACATTAGAAAAAACGTAATTGTGTTATGCCTATGTGTTCTCCCATACTTTGTTCTATATGTATGCCAGATCTGTTCAGCCGTTCCGGAGATACCTTCAAACATCCATCCATCTAAACATTCGCATTTATAATATTAGTAAGAATGTTTAGATCAGTGGTTCCCAAACTTATTTTGTCTACTGACCACTTTTAGAATAAATATTATTTTAGCGCCCCCATATTAGAGTTTAAGCAATCTTTTAATTCATATTAGTTGATGTTCACAATTTGTTGTTGAGAGTCGAGAGCTCATGCAGTTGTTGTCTAAGAGGCCTCCTAGCTAAATAAAATTACAAATCACCCAGGCCTCTACACAACGCCTCCATTCTCTTTCTGGGTCTCTTACCTGTAGCGCCCACAAGGGGGCGTTATCGCCAACTTTGGAAAAGACTGGTTTAGATGGATGTTTGTTAAAAGGTATCTCCAGAACGGCTGCATGGATCTTGATGAAATTTGACATAGATGTAGAACATAGTCTGGAAGTACACATAGACTACTAATGACATAGAAATGTGTACAGTTCCCATTGGATATGTTTAATTTAGCTATTTACTTGATTATTTATAATGGTTGAAATTGGCCTATTTGACGGGACTTTGACTGCAAGGTAACTGATACACTTGGTCATATTATAGGGTATTTCTTTTAATGCTACGCTAAGATCGTGTGTTATCTTCCCAGGTGGTCAAGTCCATATCTGTGCAAAGTGTGGTAAACAATTCAAGAGTCGTCTGTGTCTACATCAGCACACAAAGTACGTGCACCCACCAGAGAGCGCGTCAGTGAACTGCCCGCAGTGTCGCAAACGATTCAAATCACGTATCAATTTACATCAACATATAAGGATATCACATAACGGCAGACATGATTCCTAATGGCAACACTGAATACATTTCACTTTTGAAATATAAGTTTTTTTTTAATTAACCTCGCCGGAACTTTGGACGTCACGTGCTCAGTTTAGACTAATTTTGGAATCAATGTACTAAATGAGATAAAATTACTTTAGTGTAACTAATGTGGGCACAGACCATGAATTTTTTTTTATATATTGCAGGAAATGAGATTGCCAACATTGTGCCTGAAGTAGATCTGTAATCTCTACCAACCCAAATGGGTTAGTTCTAAAATGTGGTAAAAAACAAATTATTTTTGTCCGGGAAAATTACAATATTTTTAAATTTTGGTTTGAACATAAACGTGATATAACGTGAAGTGTTGCTTCTGACGATGTTATTCTTTGACGAAAAAAATATAGTCGGTGAAGAACACTAAATGTCATTTTGTTTTGCCAAATAAGATATGACCTAAAGGTCTATGTTACCAGGTCATAAAATTAAAAAAAATCGGTTAAGAAATGTCAATGTCACTGCTTTGTGTAGATCAAATACGAAGTAGTTATATACTCTTTGCTGTGTTTATTTATTGGGAAAAGAAATAAAAGTATTGAGATTTTTTTGCGATTGCGCATTAATATTGTGAAAATAATAAAGTTGATTAAAAAATTTGGGATTATAGTAATGTAAATAATAATATCCTTATCAAAAGAGTATAATAAAGATGGCTTTAAGAGATTTGATGCATATTTACTACAATTTATTCTCGAAAAAAGTTGCTTATTGTGCGTTGTGTTACAAAAGTGAAGCCGAGACGCGATTAATACATTCGAGGGTTTACAAGAAGGTCGTTGAAGCTTTAAAATATTCAGAAATTGTGAGTTACATCGATTAGTTTTTTTTAGCACGTAAACACTTCATTATTTCCACGTCCATATACTATTTTTGGGTCGGGAACAGGTTTTCGTCCTTCAGATCATTTTCATGGTCATTTCAATGAGCTACCAACATTTCAAATTTACGCAACCTGAACATTTGAACCGGCGCAGAGTAGATTTACACATGGCTATTGTAGATCCTGACAGACTTCCAATATTCTTACGGTGAAGGAATTCAAAAGATATGTGAAGTCAACCCGCACTGGGCCAGCATTCACTATAACCAAGAAACTGACTTAGGGTAGACTCTGAGCATGTCAATATCAAGTCAAGTCACATCAATGGAGATATATGATTGTAGGGTAAGAATACTAATTTTCATTATTTCAGTTTACGCAGAACAAGCAACTGTGCTACATCTGTGAGAAACAAATGACATCTTTTATGCATTTACTGGACAATCTTCAGCTGGCCGTGGACGTGCAAAGAGTTTTTATCAGAGCAGACATGTGCAATGAATATAGGGTAACTATAAATTGTTGTTACTTATGATGAAGGAAAACATTATGATGCTGCACATATCTGGGAAAGTCAAATGTGTGAAGTCTTGCACTGGACCAGCATTCACTATTACATAGTCTCACTTAGGGTATACTCCGTGTCCCTCAGTGGGATGTTTACTGAGCTGATGATGCTGATAAATTGTAGTACAAGTTTTTTTTTCTCCATCGTTTTCTTTAAAGAATAACGATTAGATGACATTAACAGTGTCAATTCTTTAAAAAGTTTTACAAAAAGTTACATTTCATGATTTTGATAAATTATATTTTGCTCATCAACAGACAAATGTAATGGAGGAAAGTCTTAATACATATCAAAAGGACTTTATAAAGATTAGAATGAAAATGCAACTTTACCAAACAAATGTATTGATTGTGGATACTTTTGATGTGAGTAAATCTTACTAATATTATAAATGCAAATGTTTAGATGTATGTTTGAAGCTATGTACAGAACGACTGTGTCGATCTCGATGAAATTTGTCATAGTTCTAGAAAATAGTCTGGACGAACACATAGACTAAAAATTAAATTTGAAGTGACAGTCCAAAGATAAAATTTTTTACATACTTCAATTTTATTAGCTGTATAATTATAATTAAATTAAAATATTAATATTTTGTTACAGGACCCGGATGATATTTCACAATTACCACCAGATCCTTGCAACACAAAACACACAGATCAGTAAGTCTGTCTGCGCCGAATTCAAAAAAACACAGTAGCCTAAGATTTCTTCCAGACTATGTTCTACATCTATGACAAACTTCTTCAAGATCCATTTAGTCGTTCTGGAGATGTCTTCTAACATCCATCCATCGTAACATCCTATAACAGTGGTAGAGCTTTAACATCTTCGCACGAATTGTCCCGGCTCGCTCAGTGAAATACCACGACCACACAGAAGACAGGCGTGAAGTGGAACCAATTCCGCGTTTCGTCTGATGAGTGTGCGCCCCGGAGGCCTAATTTAGTCCACTTTCCCTTTGCACCCTTTTTCTTATAAGGAAAAGATTGGGAAGTGGAAATGGACTTTCCGGATGAGAGGATGCATAGAAAGGGAAGATATTTTCTTTCTGTGCATCCTCTCCTCCGTCGATTAAAGGTAGGCAACGCATATGCAATAGCGTATGTCTATGGGCAACGGTCACTTCGCTATTTCAGCGATTTCAGGTGACCGCTTGCTCGTTTACCACATTTTGATATAAAAAAAAGAAGTTTTTTCTTTTTGCTTTCAACATACAGAATACTGAATGTATTTATTATTTTTTTTTATTTTACAGTAATGACATAGAGATGGTATTTAATGGAAAGGATAAACAGATCCATACGAAAGATATAACACAATTTGATCAAATAGATCTGCCTGTGATATTACCGGACTCCAATATGATCCTAACTCTAGGTTCTGACAATAAACTGTATATTGTTCCCGCACCAGTTGATGAAACAAAAGATATTAATATAGACAATGAAAATATCACATCGGAAAATAATGATATAAAAAATATACAAAAAGAAGAATTAACTTGGCAGGAAAAATCAAAAAATGTACTCAATTTTAATTTTAAAAGACCCCAACTTTTACCTAAGCGCGTCAAAAGATCACAAGATGAAACAATAGTGAAGAGAACTAAAAATTCTAATCTACCTTTTATAGTAGATTGTAGGACAGATAGTACAGCGTTTAATGAAGAAATAAAAGAAGAAATAATTGAGCCGGAAGTTGTTGAACATCCAATCAGAACTGATTCTGCGGTGGATTGGGAGGACAAAATACCTATGGAAGTTATATCATTCATGGTAAGTCCATTTCAAAGAATTAATAGCTTGAAGTGTGCTCCATGGAGACCAAAGTGTGCTCCACGGAACTTAAACTTAACTTTAAACTTACTTTCATCTAAGAAATTACTGAACAGATTTAAATGAAATTTAGTATACAGATAGTATAGAGCCTGAGAAATCACATAGGATAGTTTTTTAAAGCGGAAAAAGGGTTGTAAGGGGTACAAAGTCGGGGTTGAAATTTGTATCGTCATTTTTACAGTTAGTAACTTATTTTCAGGGTTGTTATTCTTACTAGCTTACTATGTTTGGATGGATATTTGTGTGACGCTATCTCTAGAACGGCTCAAAGGATCTTGCTGCAATTCAGCACAGATTTAGTCACGGGCGATAGCTATTAGAGACAAACATACGAATATTTTGTTAATATATATTATTATGTTGTAGGACGATGGGGTAAATTCAAAAGCAGCAAGGCGTAAAAGACAGTTAAAGACAAATCAAATAGAATGTATAGATTTATGTTAATAAAATTGTAATGTGAAGAGACAATTTGACAATTTAGAAGTGTTATAACTATGATATCTCTATAAGGGATTGATGGCAGAAGAAATTTGTGACATGGCAATACTGAACGACAGTTTTAAAGAGCGCTGCGAACAGGCAGTTCGTAAATTAAAAAAAAAGTTAAAAGAAAATTATAATAGTGCAATTTGGGGAATATTGAAAAATGCTTGCTTGTATGATCCATACAAACACTTTTGTACAAAATGTACATGGCCGGATAAATATTTTTCATTGGCAACACTTATATTCAGTATTACAGATACTCAAATTTTATTATCTGTTTGTATATATCTCGTTAATGTTTACTTTGAAGAATGTAAGATAGGTTATATATTGTTTTAATGAGTACATAATTGTTTTAAAATAAATGGTGATTTATTCTTTTATATTTTCAAAATGGTACAACTACTATTTGTGTAAACCAAGTGTATGTTTTTTTATTGCAATGTAATAGAGTTGAGATAAAATAACTTCAGGAAAAAACATTTTTTTGAATATCAGTTATTTTGCAAAACAAGTTCTTTGAATAAAAATGATTTTTGAAAATTCAACCTTAATCTTTGTTAATTTCCCATTAATATCAAGATTGACCTAAAAAGTCTATGTTACTAGGTCATAAAATTAAAATAAAACGTCAAAGTCTTTTAGCATATTATATACTCTTTGTCTTTTAGACTTTGTCAGAAACAGAAACGTCAAAGTGCTGTCAAAACATTGTTTCGTGTTTCGATGGGTTTGAAAATTTTTGAAATAATAAGAGAATGATTGTAATTTTAATTTAAAAGTATAGTTTTTCTACCATAATGTCATTCCCGAAGATAGAAGGTTATGTTGTGACTGAGAAATTGGGTTCTGGGAGTTATTCAACAGTTTATAAAGCTATAACAAAGGTAAATCTATGTAAATAGTGGTTTGTGTACATTTGGCTTTATCTATGTGAAACATATTTCTCTCCACTTTTATTATAGTTTTAAACCAAATTTAAATCTAAACAAAGATACCATTGTGTTTTAAAGCTAATTTTTATTACATTTGTCACGAAATAATATTTTTTTTGTTAGTGTACGAAATTATTTCATATGTAATAAGTCATTATTATATCTTGCAATATTTTATATTATTTATGTATTAGTCCCTTACAATTTATACCCAGGTGGGCGCAAGATCAACAGTAGCTATAAAATGTATAGATAAATCTCGAGTGAAGCATTCCGGTGCTGCTGTGGACAATCTGATCACGGAGATACGTCTACTAAAGACACTCACACATCCACATATTGTGCATATGAAACAGTTTACATGGGATGATAGGTATGTTAGGTTTTTTTCTTTTATATTATAAGGTTGCAAATGGCCATATAAATTTACTGAAATAACGAATTGACCACTTAAGCAGAATAAATGCAAATTTGCACAGACAAAAAATTAAAAAAAAATATATACTTATATATTTTTTAATTTAATGTATGAACAAAATATTTTTTTTTTCACTTTTATTCTTTGTTTCAAATGCTAAATATATAGTTGACAGAATTCTTGTAATTAACTAAAAATAAATAACAAACTCCGTATTGTAATTTAGCATAAAGAATATATGCAAAAAAGAGTACGGACCAAAAGTCTACATGTTGATTGTTGTAAGAAAAAAAATGTAGTTTTTAGGGTTCTGTACCTCATAGGAAAAAAACGGAATCCTTATAGGATCACTTTGTTCATCCGTCTGTCTGTCAAGACTCTTTTTGTGAATCGTCATCATCAGCTCACTATACGTCCCCACCGAGGGGCTCGGAGCCTACCCTAAGTTAAGGGTGATTAGGCCATAGTCAACCACGCTGGCCAAGTGCGGGTTGACTTCACACGTATCTTTGAATTTCTCAGATATGTGCAGCATCACGATGTTTTCCTTCAGTGTAACAACATACGATAAATGTACATAT